CAACAATTCAAGATCTATCCCCATGCAAGCTGGGGGTATAACCCTGGTCTTCAGATCAGTTTCTCCATCTAGGGCAGAAGTCTGCAAAATACGCTATCTTATTAGGTCCTTCAAAGAGAGCAAAAACATAATAGGTCCTTCAAATGCTTAAGGACATCATACTTACAACAAAGTAAAAGAAAAGGGAAACAATGTAATGACTTAATTGTAGAGTTGCAGTCACATTTAGACTTACTCAAATCATAATTCAGAAAAACTAAAAAAATAGAGCCCAACATAAACTCTTTTAGAATTTCATCCAATTATGTTTTTCATGCTTGCTTGAATATTTGGTAAGATTCTAAAATTTTGGGTCCTTTTGGCTTTCAATGGTACTGTCTGAACTAATTTCATATATAATGGGAAACGTTCTATTTGAATGTGGACCATTGATCATGTTGAACATATATATATATATATATATATAAATATATAAATGTCCACACACAAACATTATATTGAGGGATCCCTTAAATTACGTTATTAAAGGATCGCATTGTAGGTCCATATTGAAATGTGGTTTAACGATCCAGACCGTCCATTTTTCAAGACCATTCAAGGGTCATCCGTGCAAAAAATCATCTCACTAAATGGTTTCCCATTTGCCTAATTTTGGCAATGATGATTCTTGAATGCAGATTTAAAAATTGGACGACCAGATCCTAGAACTACACTGGGAGGTGCACCCCCACAATGCGTCCCTCAAATCAGCATCGTACTTGAATGATCCAAACCGTCTATTTTTAAAGTTCTCATTCATAGATCATACTTGAGAAGAAAAAATAGATAAATTGCAAACCATTAAGACATCTAATTGTGATAATATAAATAGACAAAAACGGCTTTTCAAAAAAAAAAACACACTACAATGATTAAATAGTTTCTAGTTTGGAAGATTTTTTGCAAAGGCCATCTTTAAGGGAGACCTCAATAATTAATCGTTTGGGTCATTAAAATAAAATACATTTTGGGGCCCTACAAAGGTGACCCTCCTTAAGATAGGTCCCCTTAGACGAGAATCTAAAAGGGATCATGTTTTTTGGAGCCATTCTACAATGCAGTTCATTGATTTGAACCGTCATAAGTTTTACATCCCCATTTAAAAATTATGCCTGCAAAAATCAACAAAATGGAAAATAGTTTGACCATTCAATTATTATCATGAACATTTTAGTTTTAATTGGAACACTGTGTTAGCCTATTTATTTGGTCATAATAAGAAAACTTAATGATTTTTCATTTGATTGAAGTTTTGTATTGTTGCTTCTTGAATTGATACTAACAAATGGGAGGTTTGGATTACTGCAGCAGATTTAGAGTTAAGCTCACATGTGACCTTGCAGGACATACGATCCATTGTATTTTAATGATCTGAATGATCAATTTTTTAGGTCTTCCCTCAAATATCATCTCTGCAAAAAGTCACCCATATATCGGAAAACATATAATCATTTGACTAAATGGCAGTCATTTTAGTGTTTTTTGTGGACATACAATGTTTTTCTATTTATTTCGTCACAATTAGATATCTTAATGGTTAAAGATTTGTCTAATTTATTTCAATGATGATCTATGAATGAAGAGTTGAAATATAGACGGTTCAAATCATTGAGATACAATGTGGAGTGGGCCTTACAAAGTGTCCCTCAAATAAGCTTATATTTTATATATATATATATATATATATATATATATATAGAGAGAGAGAGAGAGAGAGAGAGAGAGTTGATAAAATTTCTACTTAGAACTTTGCCAAATTCACAATAAGAATCAGACAAATGGTTGGATTATTACCTCTACATAGCACAGGCCTTGTGCTTCTGAGGTGCCAATCAAAACAAGATCACAAGGCACCTCATCATTCTCTCGAAGCCAAACTATGTTACCAACACGAATATCCTGCGCTTGTATCTAAGAGTAGATGACACCAGACAAAGAAAAGAGAAACATCAAGCTATTAGTTCAGCAAAATCTAAGGAAAAGTGGATGACAAATATCTAATCCATGAGACTGTTGAATAAAAAAAATTGAGAACTAAAGAATTATTCTATAAAAACATAACACAAATGTAATTATCATATATAAATCATTTTCTTATAAGTTACACAAAATCTTAGTTTATTTCTATACCATAATGGGCATTTTTTTTATTTCTTTCTTTTTTGTTCAGTAAGTACATTCTATGAGCATTTGTGCATGAATCTCTTAAAGTAAACTGAATCAGCTTGGAGTTATTATTCCTACAAAGGGGACCTCCCCACCACAGATTCATCCCAGTTGTAAAATCTTACGTTAGACATCATAAGATAACATAAACAATGAAAAACAAAAAGAAAAAAAATGTCAAGGCCCTCACATGATCATCCACTTTATAAGTTACTAAGCATTGCACAACTTGCAACAACTTTCAATGTACTAGCACTCCCTTTTTCTGGTTATGGGGGTGGCAATTGATTTCCTTTTTCTTCAATTTTTGTATTTGAAAAATTATATCAATACCACCTGGACTAGAGGCCCTGTTGCAAATTGCAACCTGGAAAAAAAATGAATCACACTTGCTACCTTAATTTTCTGGCAATGTGCCTGCCTCCTATGACTAACTCCATATCTTTAAAACGAGTGTGTAACTATATTATGGATGTCAAAATAGGTCACATACGAATCACGTTCTTTCTTTTTTGGTGGAATTTGCAACAGGTATGGCATAGTGTAATTTTCCAGTTTTCTTTTATTGGTCTGTGAGTTATTTTTTGTTGTTCCCATATTAACTCCTAAAACGGAGAGTTTCTTACAGTACATGAAGGAACAAAAAGAGGGAGACAAAAAAAAAAACTTCCATAACCAAACAGGTCACTAATCTTCATGAACCAGTTTAAATGACCTCATACGTCATAACACTCCTAACATTAGCATTGATCTATTATTCTTCGATGTCTAGATCTTAACGTGATTGCTCTTATTGGGTATTGGGAACTCCTTTCAGTGCCCCACATCTAGTATAATGACATCTGCTCCACTAAATGATACATAAGTACAAATATACTCATTCCATCTTTTCTTCTAACTAAGTTTTCTACTGTTCATAAAGGTTACATCCTGAGGTACAAGGTTAACATTTATTCCTTTTTCGTTTTTATTCAGTTCTTCACTGCAAATCTAGAGGTGGAAGATTAAAACTTATCAATCTGTTCTTAGTAGTATTTCTATCTACTACCTTTCACTTTTTTCAAATTGCTGTTGAAGTGTTAAGAATAGGAAAAACAGTAGTATTGTCTCTCTCTCTCTCAAGGAAAAACAAACGAACTCAGGAAACCCAAGGAAATAAGCAAGAAGATAAGAACGCCAAGAATTAACATGGTTCAGCTAGATGGCTACGTCCACAGGACAAAACTACAGATCTCCACTATATGAATAATGGGTACAACAAATTATCTTATCAAGCCTCTAGATTCAAGACTTGATGAACAACTAGAAAGAACAAGACAACAAAGAAAGACTCTTATCTCTCACACACATTTTTCCCTTCAATATTCTCTCACTCTAACTCCTTGAGTGCTAATTAATATTCTCTCACTCTCACTCTAACTCCCTTCAATATTCTCTCTCTCTCTCTCTCTCTGTGGAGTGGAATTCCGAATATTGTTCTCTCTTGCTTGTTGATGATGATGCTTGTAAACTAGCACATCAGATCTCCTTATATAGCCATGATAAAGGCCTTCATCAATTAGTAAATCTAATACTAATAGGAATCTGCTTACCAAGTATTTTAAGCCCTCCTCCATTGGGAAAACAACACCAATTAGGAATAGGATTCTTATCCTCCAAGACTATTAGTCCTAATAAGCTTAGGAAACTCATCATGGCTGGAAAACCCAACAAGTAGTTGAAATCTCAGGAACTGCTAATGCATGAAGAGGATTAAAGAATGCCAATCAATACTAAGCAAGCTAACCCACCTTATAGATTGACAACAATTGTTAATTGACTTTGTTATTCTATTTAAACAACATCAACTGCTGAAAAATAAAATAGGATTGAGAAAGTGTAATACATGTTTCTTGATGCCTTGCTTAACAACCCAAACTTCTTTCTCATTTGCCTTTTTGTCTGAGAGATATCTGTTGTAATCATCCCATGCCTCTTTCGTCGCAGAGACTGCAAAAATGAAAATAAGAGGGCCCCATGTACTGGCAGGATTTACTGGAGTAATAAGTGACCATAGCTGAAGACAAGCAATCAGCAAAAAATACTGATTCATGAAGCGGCTGAAAACAAATGTAAAATTTGTTAGAGAAGAGAATGGGTGGGGGAAGACATCTCAAAATCTTTATGTTTATACATTCAGCCTATATACCAGATTTGTGAACAAAAAAGGTGACTTTAAAAAGGGGCAAACAAAACAAATTAGAAGAAGAAAAACGAGCTGAGAGCAAGATCACAACAATTAAAACCAAGGGGATACAAATCATAAAATTAGCAAAACTTGTGCCCCGTATTATCCCCAATATCATAACATGCACCACAACAGTAACGAAATATTCAGAAATTATTGATGGAAAAAAAGAACGCCGCATTTTCCTTTATATAATTAAAGAACCATCATATTATCCCTAAAATCTCCATATATGCTATAATGGATTCAAGAAAAGCTTAATTGCAGTGAAGTCCAATAAAGTGAGAGAGGCTATGACTTTTAATCTTTCTGAGTCTTGACGCATTGCAAATTAACTGAATGAACTCCGCTGAATTAACCCTCCCAAATAAAATGTTCAAACATATAACCAACCAATAGTTTATTCAGCACATATAAAAACAAAAGTATCAACTCCTAAATCACCTGAACTGTTCCCATAAATTCTTTGGGAGAAAATTCAACAAAGTATACTTTCTATTTGATATGCGATTGTCACAGTAAAGACGGTGCGATGATTCATCGTCATTGATGTAGATGTAGCGCTTCATTACTGAACTACAAGCACATGATGAGGTTCAAATGTTATTTCCAAGTTCACTACAGTGCTTGGCAGCATGTAGCAGCTCCATACAAGAAACGAGGGACTGAAAGAGAAAAAATGAATGAATCAGACAGTGAACAAGAATATCAGATATTTTATACCGGGAACAAACACTAAGATGGAAACTAAGTAAGGAGTTGCCTAATTCGCTCACCCCACTACGAATTTCGATCTGGATCGAGCGTACCCAATCGCGGTACTGTATCGATCTGGAACGAAAGATTCAACGACTCAGTTCCAGAAGCGAGAACAGTACATGATAGACGAGGTCGATGCTCGGCAGACGAGCAAACGAGGGCAAATGAGGGAGAGTGCAACACACGTTTGATTCTTGGTCTCTTGGCATAAACGGGAAGGAAGATATTGGGTTCGGAGAGGAATTTTTGGATGAATGGATTCGAGGAGGACAGCCCACCCAAGGCAAAAGGCCTCTAGTCTCCCAAAATCAGCTCCAGCGGTGACATCCACCCCGGGCAAGAGTTGGGGTCCATCAAGCCCGGGCAAGGCCCAAGGAAAGATAGCCTGAGCTGCTGTGTATGAGGGCGCTGGCGTCAATGAAGAAAAAAAAATTATTGAAAAAATTCTGAAAAATTACCAACACATTCAGAATTTTATTTGAGATTTTCTATTTAAATCTCACACTTCTCTTATTTCACTTATGTTCTAAGTTCACCCCAATTTTTAATTTAAATTTTCACAATTTTTAAGAAAACCTCACTATCTTCCTAAACTACCCTTAAATACACCACAAGCTGAAAAAATAAGAAATAAAAGAATTTTTCTATTTAAACCCCACAAGCTACCCTTAGAGGAGGAAGTACGTTATGTAAGCTCTAATGCTAATTGCTAGACATTTTATCATTTTCTCTCTTGAGTATTTAATAATGACAATGAGGTATTCAATTTTCATTGGCATTCCAAATCGACAACTCTTTTGAATCTCAGTGTGGAAAAGCAACAAGGAAAATAACCCAACTATTGAAGCAACAGCAGAAAGATGATGATTTTAGATGCATACTAGAATTTCAGAAGTGACAATAATATTACTGTTCCCATATAAAAAAAACAAAAACAAATGGAACCCAAATTCGAAATTTAATACTTTCTAGAGAAAGAGAACAGCTTTACCAAAACATCAGGTATTAAAAAAAAACAAAAAACAATCAACAGTCAAGCAATCAACAAAGTGAAGAGAATAAGATCATTACAACCAAACAATCAACAAGTCTTTTCATCAGCTCCTAGGCAGATTTTAAAGAGGCATGCTCGTCAATGTTCTATGTCTTTGGCAATACGATGTAAAAGAGTTTGTATTTTTCTAAAACTTAATATAAAGTATGGGGGGGGTGTGTGTATAGATGTACTAGGGTTAAGTATTAAGTTTGATGACTTTTTTTGTCTTTTTACACAATAATAAAACTTACAGCTTAATAATTTAAATATTGGGGTGAACTAAGAAAAGTGTGGGGTTTTAAATAAAAAATCTCTTTTATTTCATGTGAACAGTAACTATCCTTACTTACTCCCCTTTGCCATGGCAAACGGGTGGAAATACTCTAAGGGAGAACGTATTAGAGATTGGGTGAGTAGATGTGTCAATATAATAAAAGTATTGCTTATGGTTTCAAGAATTCAATCTCATTCTCCTAGACCTTATGGTCCAAGGAAGCTGTGGTTACCTACCCTTGGATATAATCTAAAAGTTGAGAAAAAACTAGTTTAAATATCAATATGTATCTTTTATTTTACTTTTACTATAGTAAAATACTATCTTGGTTGTTAAAATTAATTCCTTTTTTTTTTAAAGTTTAATATCATAGATGAAAAACATGAATAAAAAAACTCATCCGCATCTAAGACTATCGTCTTCGATGCCAATCATCTTTCTCTTTCACACCTAGTGAATAAGAAAACATGAACCTTTCATGAAAATACAATATAATTGAAGAAACCCAAGTCTTCATGAACCTAGAAAAAACAAAAAAACCAAAATTTGTTTATGAAAAATTGAAGTTTTCCCAAACTTGGTTCATGAATCATTCAAATCTAACATTTATAAACAAAAAATTGATTACAAAGCTAAAGAACAAGAAGAAAGTGACTTGGTTGTGGGTCCTTGAAATTCAATCACTTTAAAGTGTGAAGAGATGTCTTGATGGCTCCAGATTTGAGTCAATAAATTTTCTTTTGTTTTGAACAAATTGAATATTTGAATCTAAATCAAGAGATAAAATAGATAACCAATAAGAATTAGAGTGAATCTTAAACGACACGTGTTCTTGATTTTAGTCTGCAACACCAAAGTTGAAGGTAGTTATGAACAACAATGGAGGAAGAACGTGTTCTTGGTTTTTTGAGAGAGAGCATGTTTCGGTTAGAGTGATATTTTCTTTTTTTAATTTTTTTTTGTTCAAGTTAAATTAATATTTTGTATAGTAAAAGTAATAAAATAATGACATATTGATATTTAAATCAATTTTTTCTCAACCCTTAGATTAGATCCAAGAGTGAGTGATCAAAACTTCCTTCGACCCTTAGGAAGAAGGAAAGTCATGGTTCTTTCAATACATTGAACAAATAAAATATATAACTTATTGAATAAATAAAAAAACCACTTATTTATAAAATAAATAACTCAATGAAATCCCTTGCATTTACTTGTCCAAAGAAACCAGAGGGTTCCATGTTTTTAATGGTAATTAAGGGCATTACAAATATATTGTAAGGATGACACTGTAAACAGGGAGAAAAGTAGGGAAGGGTAGTAGAAAATACATGAGGTTCGCACAATAATAATATCCAGACATCTGCATAAGAGAATTTATATATATACACACACACACACACACACACACACACATACAAGGAGCTTCAGTTAAGGGTTTATTTGAGGAACACCATTGCAGGGCCCACTTTGTATTGTATTTCACTAATCCAAACTATCTACTTTGTAGATATTCATTCAAACATCATCTCTAAAAAAAATCACTTGGATCCAATATCATTTGACCACTCAATTGAAATATTGAAATTTTAGTACTTTCTTGAAGTACTGTGTTCGTTGATTTTGTAGGACACAATTGGATGTTGAAAAAGTTTCTGATTTGTCTAATATTTTGCAAAGATGATCTATGAATGTAGACATTAAAAAATAGATGGTTTGGATTGTTGAAATTTTTTTTGTAATCCCTCAAATAAAGTTATTTGAGGGATCCCGCAATAGAAGGGGTTTAGGATATTATCTTTGTTTTTTGATCTAATATATTATGTTTATTTTTTGATCTATTCCCATTTGGGTTCTTAAATTTGTAGTTTGATTTGAGTATTAAAATTTCTTACATGAGTTAAATAAACACAATATAATATAAAAAGGTTTCGAAACTATACGAAAAATAAGTTTCAAGAGGAAAGACAAAAGTTGACTAAGAACTAATTGGTTAAATACCAAAGATGATCATATACTTGTGCCAAATGCTAAAGGGAAATAGTGCAAGTTAACAACACACAAAGAGAAGTTACCCTTACATCTGAAGTCCTGCATTCGAAATCTCCCCTCCCCCAATATCATTTGTGTGTTAATAATAACAAGACTAACAAGACAAGGCATAAACATGTATATAGAAATATATCATTGTACGTAGCAGTTTCTCATAAAATTTATAGGAAAATTACAAAATGGACTGAAACATTATAAGGAAAGGATTAACATAATGAGTTACTGCAGGGGTGGTTGTGGGGATGAAGAATGGTTGCGCATAACCCTCGCTTGTGAGCATTCAACTCTTGAAGACGGCCTTGGGTGGATGAAAGCCTTTTTCTACCAAAGGCATGCCAAAAAAACAATAACTAAGACTCCCGAAAGTAATAACAAATGACTAATTTTGGTGATCAACAACTTCACGTTGGATATCATGCTTCAATTGATTCAAATGCTACCCAATCATGTTAAGTTTTATTTTATTACTAACCATGGAGAATATTTGTAACATAAATAAATAAATAAAACCATCTACCATAACAAAATTGGTGTTCCCTTACAGAAACAGCAAAGTAACAGAGTTGCTCCAAGATTCACTTGGTAAGTTTAACTACCACATGACTTCTTGAGAATGGGCATGCATTTTGTCTTTAGCCTTAGATTATCCAAGAAAATTTGATTCTGACCCTTTGTTTGTAATCATATTTTAGGTGGACAAGCCAAGACACTTATGTTTATTCACATAAGTCATGAGCTAGATGTTGTTGGTGAAACAATAAGTACACTTAAATTTGCAGATCGTGTAGCCACAGTTGAACTTGGTGCTACTCGAGTAAACAAAGATAGTACAGATGTCAAAGCCCAATTTAGCTAAAAATATTTTCTAGTGACCAAATTGAATTTCCATGTAAAACCTAGTGACAAAAGATGTATTCAACCCTAGATTAAACCATCAAAAACTTACAAAGTGAAAAAAATTAATATTGACAATAGTAGGACATAACAAATGTAGAAACTTTATTGGTGAGTGGTGCAGTGATCTATATAGAAACTGAAAAGCAATATTTCAAGCAACAAAATACATATGCTAAAAGACTTGTCATGCTAATATATATCAACTTCTCAAGGTTTATGTTGAACCCGTATAAATCAGATAGCCGTAATATTGCAATCATACAAGTACAACGTAATGAGATAGAGTGGTTCACCCATAAATTTGGTCTACATATGCTAGTTTTATATTTGTATATATGTGTAGAGTTTTTACATGATAATAGGCTTAAGAGTCTTTATAGAAAACAGCAAAAATGAAGGAAAGAGTTGATGAGCCCTTTTGGGCTTTTTATGAGCTAAGCATGAGGAGAGAGGCATCTGTTTAGAAGATCAACCTTCCCAACCGACCTTGGCAGTGGTTTTGGGCATCGTGAGGCCATTGGGCCTGTAATGGTGAGGCCCATACCAATTATCGGTCTTGGTCATAACCATGAGTCAACAAGCCTCCAAGTCTAAAAGTAGCTTCTTGGCTGGGGACTTTACAAGTCCATAGAAGGGCCTGGCCAAGCCGAACAGTTGTCATGTGTTAATACTTTGCTCAAGTAGGGTTTAGAGGCAAGTCGTGCTTGGTGCTAGTTTGTATTTGGTGCTAGATAAACAAAGAGCAGTTATGGAGAATTTGTTTATGCAGAGCAGAGTACCGTAGAGCTGAGATAATCATCACTGAGCAATAATGGCCTCGGTGGGGAACGAGCAGTTATGGACTACGAGCAGAAATAACCTTGATGTACATGAGCCCCGATGTTTAGGATGGAGTTCGAGCTGCAATTGCCTCAGTGGAATTTGAGTCATAATGGCCTCGGTGGGGTTGAGTCATGGAGTCGGAACCATCCTTATTAGGAATGGCCTCGGTGGTATCTAGATGATCATGGTGTCCGAGACAGTGGCACAAGAGCCATAATGGAGTTCGCGCATGTGATATCACATTATAATATAATGAGGATGTACGTGATGATGGCATGATGAAAATGTACGTGATGATGGCATGATGAAACTGTATGTGATGATGAATATGTTATTTTTAAGAGACACTATTTGACAGCTTGTAGTAGTAAGTAGGTATAGTCTCTTATCTGTGGTGTCTATAGGCAGTGGTGGAGCCACTCCTAGGCCTGGAATGGCCCTGGTCCCCCTTAGATTTTGATCTCTCCTATATTATATTATATATAACAAATATAATTTGTAATAAACAACTTATAATTTAAGTTAAAATTTCCTTTAAAACAAATTAGACATGACTAAATTAGAAATATTTAGCTCAAAACATGTAACTATTGAATACATATGTGTTTTATATACTCATACTTTTTACTTTATCCCCCAACTTTACAATTCTAGCTCCGCCCTTGTCTGTAGGTATACCATTTTCTGATTATGTGTATGGTAAGACGTGGAGATAAGGTGGGTGAGATGAGCACAAAAAATATGGTCTAGCCGATTAGCCTGTAACTTGATAGGGAGAGCAAGGTTTAATCCAAGGTGGTGAGTGTAAGCAAAGTGGTCGGGTCGACCACGTAAGATGGCGGGTGACCATGCAAACTGGTTGGCATTCATTCAAGGTGGTCGGGTCGGCCATGCAAGGTGACGGGCGACCATGAAAAGTGGTCGACGTTCATCTCATGTGGTCGAGTCGACCATGTAAGGTGGTCAGCTCGGCATGCAACCAGTGACAGATCTAAGAATCTTACCTTATAAGGTCATAGTGTAAAAGTTCCAAAAATAATTTAAGATGATAAAAACATTGAAAATGAAATGATAGTACTTTCATTCATAATTCATATAAAAAACAACATTACAAGATGCAATTGTCCACAAAGAGGTTTCAATAAATCCAAAAAATATAGACTGGAACTCAAATGAGGAATAAAAAACAAGAGTAAAGCAAATTACAAAGTTACCTTTTTGTTTCGTGGTCGAGAATTATACTTCGAAATTTTAGCTAACATGTCTTCTTCAAGCTCAACAATACTCTTTACTCTCACTGATTCAATAAGCAACAAGATCCAATGAATCCAACAAATATAGGCTGGAAATCAAATGAAGAGTGAAATCAAATTAGGAATAAAAAACAAGAGTAAAACAAATTACAAAGTTACCTTTTTGTTTCATGGTTGAGCCTTAAACATTGGAATTTTGGTCACAATCTCTTCTTCAAATTCATCAGTACTATTTACTCTCACTGATCGAACACATTGGGATGTTTTAAATTCAGGCGCCTTAGGCCTTGTCGAGGTGAGTTTGGGCTTCATCTGAATAATAGAAACAACATTAACATCAATACTAAATATGTTGACAAAATAAAACCGAAAGAGACATGAAAAAGAATTCAAAAAGAAATCACATATGGAAATAAGTATCTTCACTTGTGAAAGTGAACCATTAACATGCTGCATTGACAAGTATCTGGTACTTGATTGGAACCTTTTCATCATTTCAGCATTCGAAACAAATTGTGTTGTAGATTCCTGAACATACACATTTTTGTCCTCTTTTTTGCATAGTAGTAGTTGAATACATAGGTGTTTTATATACTCATACTTTTTACTTTGTCCCCCCAACATTACAATTCTAGCCCTGCCCCTTTATGTAGGTATGCCATTTTTCATTATGTGTATGGTAAGACGTGGAGAAAACATGAGTGAGATGAGCACAAAAAATATGGTCAATTCGATTAGCTTGTAACTTGGTGGGGAAAGCATGGTTTATTCCAAGGCGGTGAGCGTATGCAAAGTGGTTGGGTCAACCATGCCAGGTGGCGGGCGACCATGCAAACTAGTCGGTGTTCATCCAAGGTGGTCGGGTCGGCCGTGCAAGGTGACGGGCGACCATGAAAAGTGGTCGACGTTCATCCCATGTGGTCGAGTTGGCCAGGTAAGGTGGGCAGCTCGGCATCCAACCAGCGACAAATCTAAAAATCTTACCTCATAAGGTCATAGTGTAAACATTCCAAAAATAATTTAAGATGATAAAAACAATGAAAATGAAAAATATTAATTCCATTCATAATTCATTTCAAAAACAACATTATAAGCCACAATTGTCCACGACAATGTTGCAATAAATCCAAGAAATATAGGCTGGAAATCAAATGAGGAATAAAAAACAAGAGTAAAACAAATCACAAAGTTACCTTTTTGTTTCGTGGTCGAGAATTAAACTTCGATATTTTGGCCAACATATCTTCTTCAAGCTCAGCAGTACTCATTACTATCACTGATCCAATGAGCAACAATATCTAATGAATCCAACAAATATAGGCCGGAAATCAAAATAGGAATAAAAAATAGGAGTAAAACAAATTAAAAAGTTACCTTTTTGTTTCGTGATCGAGCCTTAAACATTGGAATTTTGGACATAAACTTTTCTTCAAGCTCATCAGTACTCTTTACTCTCACTGATCGAACACATTGGGATGTTTCAAATTCGGGCTCCTTAAGCTTGTCAAGGTGAGTTTGGGCTTTATATGAATAATAGAAACAACATTAACCTCAATACTAAATATGTTGACAAAATAAAACTGAATAAGAGACATGAAAAAGAACTCAAAAAGAAATCACATATTTAAATAAGTATCTTTACTTGTGAAAGAGAACCATTAACATGCTGCACTGACAAGTCTCTGGTACTTGATTGGAATCTTTTCATCCTTTTAGCCATCAAAACATGTGGTGCTGCAAATTCTCGAACATACACCTATCTATCCTATTTTTTGCATAGTAGCAGTTGAATACGTAGGTGTTTTATATACTCATACTACAATTGTCCACAACGAGGTTACAATAAATCCAACAAATATAGGCTGGAAATCAAATGAGGAATAAAAAAGAAGAGTAAAACAAATCACAAAGTTACCTTTTTGTTTCGTAGTTGAGAATTAAACTTCGAAACTTTGGCCTACATATCTTCTTCAAGCTCAGCAGTACTCATTACGCTCACTGATCCAATGAGCAACAAGATCTAATGAATCCAACAAATATAAGCCGGAAATCAAAAGAGGAATAAAAAATAAGAGTAAAACAAATTACAAAGTTACCTTTTTGTTTCATGGTTGAGCCTTAAATGTTGGAATTTTGGCCATAATCTTTTCTTCAAGCTCATCAGTACTCTTTACTCTCACTGATCGAACACATTTGGATGTTTCAAATTCGGGCTCCTTAAGCTTGTCAAGGTGAGTTTGGGCTTCATCTGAATAATAAAAACAACATTAACCTCAATACTAAATATGTTGACAAAATAAAACCGAATAAGGAGACATAAAAAAGAACTCAAAAAGAAATCACATATGTAAATAAGCATCTTTAATTGGGAAAGAGAACCGTTAACATGCTGCATTGACAAGTCTCTCGTGCTTGATTGAAATCTTTTCATCCTTTCAGCCATTGAAACAAATGGTGCAGCGGATTCCCGAACATACACCTATTTGTCCTCTTTTTTACATTGTAGCAGTTGAATACGTAGGTGTTTTATATACTCGTACTACAATTGTCCACGACAAGGTTACAATAAATCCAACAAATATAGGCTGGAAATCAAATGAGGAATAAAAAACAAGAGTAAAACAAATCACAAAGTTACCTGTTTGTTTTGTGGTCGAGAATAAAACTTTGAGATTTTGGCCCATATATCTTCTTCAAGCTCAGCAGTATTCATTACTCTCACTGATCCAATGAGTAACAAGATCTAATGAATCCAACAAATATAGGCCGGAAATCAAAAGAGGAATAAAAAATAAGAGTAAAACAAATTACAAAGTTACCTTTTTGTTTCATGGTCGAGCCTTAAACATTGGAATTTTGGCCACAATCTCTTCTTCAAGCTCATTAGTACTCTTTCCTCTCACTGATCGAACACGTTGGGATGTTTCAAATTCGGGGCTCCGTAAGCTTGTCAAGTTGAGTTTGGGCTTCATCTGAATAATAGAAACAACATTAACCTCAATTAGAGGTGTCAAACGGGTCGTACCATGCCGGCCCATCCCATTTAAACTTGTGCTTTTAACGTTTTCGTGTCAGGCCAGGCAAGCCCATTTAATTTATCGGGCTGTGCCGTGCCGGCCCATTTAGTAAAATTATTGATCCCGGACCGGCCCAAAGCCCATGTCCATATTGAAACGGGCTCGTGCCGTGCCCGTGCTCATGCTCGTGCCGTGCCCGTGCTCATGCTCGTGCCATACTCGGGCCCAAGAACCAATCCATTTAATTTGAATTTTTTTCACTTCATTTTTTTTTCACTAGATAATTCAAATTATAAACATTAAAAATATAATTAGATGCAAGAAATGATGAACTATTTGAAAACATTAATCAATCAAACATCCAAATAATATGAAAATGGCAGAGGGCAAAAAGTGTCAAACTCTACAGAGTCCACTTCAACTTTTCATCTTTAAACAACTTATTATTTTATATGTGAAATAATGTCTTGCTTTGATTATAAGAGAAGCATATATGTCATATGTACTGAGTAGATATCAAGTCCAATATTGTTTAATTAATTTGTAGTTGATATGTTTAATTAATTAAGGACCCAAGTAATTTCCCTAAAATGAAAGACATCAAATATATATTTATGATTAAAAAAACATATAAATAATGACATTAGATGTCAAATTATTGCATTTTGACTTTTGAGAAAGAAAAAAATGTTAAGTGGGCCGTGCTTGGGCTCGTGTCGTGCTTGAAGCGTGCTCGGGCCAAGCCTGGCCCATGTCGGGCCATGGGCCGGCCCGGTCCATTGGACCTCATTTTTTGATCCCGGCCCGGCCCAAGTTTTCGTGCCGTGCCGAGCACAGCCCATTAATATTCGTGGTCGTGGTCGTGCCGTGCCGTGCCTCATTTAAATGGGCTAGGCTCGTGCCGTGCTGGGCCAGCCTGTCCCGTTTGACACCTCTAAGCTCAATACTAAATATGTTGACAAAATAAAACCGAATAAGGAGACATAAAAAAGAACTCAAAAAGAAATCACATACGTAAATAAGTATCTTTACTTGTGAAAGAGAACCATTAATATGCTGCATTGACTCTGGTACTTAATTGGAATCTTTTCATCATTTCAGCCATCAAAACAAATGGTGCTGCAGATTCCCGAACATACACCTTTCTGTCCTCTTTTTTTGCATAGTAGTAGTTCAATACGTAGGTGTTTTATATACTCGTAGTTTTTACTTTGTCCCCCCAATGTTACAATTCTAGCTCTGCCCTTTTATGTAGGTATGTCGTTTCTCATTATGTGTATGGTAAGACGTGGAGACAATATGGGTGAGATGAGCACAAAAAATATGGTCAATTCGATCAACCTATAACTTGGTGGGGAGAGCATGGTTTATTCCAAGGTGGTGAGCGTATGCAAAGTGGTTGGGTTGACCACGCCAGGTGGCGGGCGACCATGCAAACTGGTCGGCGTTCATCCAAGGAGGTCGGGTCGGCCGTCCAAGGTGACGGGCAACCATGAAAAGTGGTCGACGTTCATCCCATGTGGTCGACTCAGGCACATAAGGTGGGCAATTGGGCATCCAACCAGTGACAAATCTAAGAATCTTACCTCATAAGGTCATAGTGTAAAAGTTCCAAAAATAATTTTTGATAATAAAAACATTGAAAATGAAATCATAGTACTTCCAATCATAATTCATTTCAAAAACAACATTACAAGCTACAATTGTCCACGACGAGGTTTCAATAAATCCAACAATTATAGGCTGGAAATCGAATTTGGAATAAAAAACAAGAGTAAAACAAATTACAAAGTTACCTTTTTATTTCATGGTCGAGAATTAAACTTCAAAATTTTGGTCAACATATCTTCTTCAAGCTCAGCAGTACTCTTTACTCTCATTGATCCAATGAGCAACAAGATCCAATGAATCCAACAAATAAACGTCTGATATTAAATGAGGAATAAAAAATAAGAGTAAAACAAATTACCAAGTTACCTTTTCTGTCGCGGTCGAGCCTTTAACTTTGGAATTTCGGCCATAATCTCTTCTTCAAGCTCATTAGTACTCTTTACTCTCACTAATTGAACACGTTGGAATGTTTCAAATTCAGGCTCCTTAAGCCTTGTCAAGGTGAGTTTGGGCTTCATCTGAATAATAGAAACAACATTAACCTCAATACTAGATATGTTGACAAAATAAAACCGAATAAGGAGACATGAAAAAGAACTAAAAAAGAAATCACATATGGAAATAAGTATCTTTACTTGTGAAAGAGAACCATTAACATGATGCATCGACAAGTCTCTTGTACTTGATTGGAATCTTTTCATCCTTTCAGCCATTGAAACAAATGGTGTTGCAGATTCCCGAACATACACTTTTTTGTCCTCTTTTTTGCATAGTAGTTGTTGAATACATAGGTTTTTTATATACTCGTAATTTTTACTTTGTGCCCTAACGTTACAATTCTATCTCTGCCCCTTTCTGTTGGTATGTCTTTTCTCATTATGTGTATGGTAAGATGTGGAGACAACATGGGTGAGATGAGCACAAAAAATATAGTCAAGTCAATCAGCCTGTTACTTGGTGGGGAGAGCATGGTTTATTCCAAGGTGGTGAGCGTATGCAAAGTGGTCGGGTCGACCACGCCAGGTGGCGGGCAACCATGCAAACTTGTCGGCGGGCGACCATGCAAACTTGTCAGTGTTCATCCAAGGTGGTCGGGCCGGCCGTCCAAGGTGACAGCGACATTGAAAAGTGGTCGACGTTCATCCCATGTGGTCAAGTCAGCCATGTAAGGTGGGCAGCTGGGCAGCTGGGCATCCAACTAGTGACAAATCTAAGAATCTTACCTCATAAAGTCATAGTGTAAAAGTTCCAAAAATAATTTATGATAATAAAAACATTGAAAATGAAATCATGGTACTTCCATTCATGATTCATTTTAAAAACAACATTACAAGCTACAATTGTCCACGACAAGGTTTCAATAAATCCAACAAATATAGGTTGGAAATCGAATGAGGAATAAAAAACAAGAGTAAAACAAATTACAAAGTTACCTTTTTGTTTCGTGGTCGAGAATTAAACTTCAAAATTTTGGTCAACAGATCTTCTTCAAGCTCAACAGTACTCTTTACTCTCACTGATCCAATGAGCAACAAGATCTAATGAATCCAACAAATATACACCCGATATCAAATGATGAATAAATAATAAGAGTAAAACAAATTACAAAGTTACCTTTTGTGTCGTGGTCGAGCCTTTAACTTTGAAAATTTGGCCATAATCTCTTCTTCAAGCTCATCAGTACTCTTTACTCTCACTGACCGAACACGTTGGGATGTTTCAAATTCGGGCTCCTTAAGCCTTGCCAAGGTGAGTTTGGGCTTCATCTAAATAATAGAAACAACATTAACCTCAATACTAGATATGTTGACAAAATAAAACCGAATAAGGAGACATGAAAAAGAACTCAAAAAGAAATCACAGATGGAAATAAGTATCTTTACTTGTAAAAGAGAACCATTAACATGCTGCATTGACAAGTCTCTTGTACTTTATTGGAATTTTTTCATCCTTTTAGCCATCAAAACAAATGGTGCTGCAGATTCCCGAACATACACATTTTTGTCCTCTTTTTTGCATAGTAGCTGTTGAATACATAGGTGTTTTATATACTCGTAATTTTTACTTTGTCCCCCCAACGTTACAATTCTAGCTCCGCCCCTGTCTTTAGATATGCTATTTCTCATTATGTGTATGGTAAGACATGGAGATAACCTGAGTGAGATGAGCACAAAAAATATGGTCAAGCCGATAAGCCTGTAACTTGGTAGGGAGAACATAGTTTATTTCAAGGTGGTGAGCGTATGCAAAGTGATCAGGTCGACCACACCAGGTGGCCGGCAGCGGCTGACCTATTAAGGTGCAAGGAGATGCATCTGCACTTCCTCTCGCCGGAAAAATCATTGTAGGTGCTTCAAATTGCCTATTTGCTCAACTGGTGTATAGATTGCCTTATTTCCATTTTCAACATTTAAGTAAATGTCTTTGTCCTTTTACTTTCATTTATTTTTATATTACTCCATTTACTTAAGTTTACAATGTAAATAAGGAAGTACCCCCGCATTTGGATTCAAATAAAAATACAAGAAAATCAATTTCGCACAAAATCAAAATATGAAAATTCGTTTTAGTGCAAAATACGATTCAGGCTAAAAATGAGGGCTCATTAAGTCAATATATACTTCATACTAAAATCCCATAAAATCAAATTTTCTTATTTGATGTGTAAGGAATAAAAGCCGCGAAAAATTATCTTGAGAAAATGATTCTTATTTATGCAATCAAAGCTGCAATCTCTCTCTAAAGGTGATTATTCCATGTCTCAATATCTGAAATCCATCAAGCATATTACTGATAGCCTTGCCATTGCTGGAACTCCACTTAGCTCGGCTGCCTTGGTTGTTCATATACTTAATGGTTTACCCGCTGAATATCTCTCCTTTGCTACATCAATTCGCACCTGATCTACTCCAATCGTGATTGATGAGCTTCATAGCTTACTTCTTAGTGAAGAACTTGCCCTCCTTCGCCAAAATTCTGTGAAGTCTTCATTTGAGACTTTGCCTTATGCTTTTGCAGCTGTTCAATTTGGCTCTGGTTCAATTGTGGTTATGCTAAGTCATATAATAGAGGTAGAGGCAAATCATAGTTTCATTCTCCAAATCCTAATTTTTGCCCCAATTTTGGTGGTCATTTTCACCCAAATTCCAGTGGTATTCCTCCCACTCCTCAACCCGGTGGTTATTCTGGCGATTTCACTGGTGGCTCATCATCTGGTGGTTCTTCTGGTAATTTCTCTGTGGTCTCTCCAAGCTTGGGCAAAACTTAGTGTCAGATTTGTGATAAATGGGGTCACAGTGCCATTGATTGTCATCAAAGGATGAACCATTCTTATCAAGGTCGAATTCCTACTGCTCGCCTTGCTGCCATGGCTGTTGTTCACTCTAGTTCTTTGAAGAATAATGATTGGCTTGCTGATACTTGTGCTACAAGTCATGTTACTCCTGATCTTGGTGCTCTGCAGACTCACTTTGCTTACACTGGTGGTGAACAAATCCACATGGGAGATGGCCAAGGTTTGTCAATTTCCAATATTGGTCATACCTCTTTTCCAACATCTACTGGTATTTTTAAGCTTTGTGATGTGCTACATGTTCCCAAAAGTGCTTATAATTTACTCTTTGTGCACAAATTCACTCTTGACAATCTGTGTTCAGTGACATTTACTCCTTTTGCATTCTTTGTTAAGGACCTAATCTCGGGGAAGATGCTTTTCCATGGTCCTAGTAAAAATGGACTCTATTCGTTCAAATTCAATCCTTTCCTCAATAAAGTCGGACATCAAGCTCTTGTTATATAGAAAGCTTCTTCATGTATCTAGCATCAAAGACTTGGTCATCCATCCAAGTCTATTTTCCATTATGTTGTTAAACAACATAATCTGCCTTGTGTATCTTCTAATGATACCTATTTTGTCTGTAATGATTGTCATTTAGGCAAAAGTAGTAAGCTTTCTTTTGCATAAGTTCCTTGTAAATCTCAACAAGCTCTATCTCTGGTTCATTGGGATCTTTGGGGTCCAATACCCACTATATCTGTATCTGGCTATAAATACTATGTCATCTTTGTTGATGATTGGTCTAAATATACATGGATTTACCCTTTATCTACAAAATCTGAATTTTCCTTTGTGTTTTGTATCTTTAAGACTCATGTTGAAAACCTTCTTGGTTCTAAAATAAATTTTTTTTGATATGATGGTAGGGTGAATTTACAAGTGCTGTGTTTACCCAATATCTTTCTAAACATGGCATTCTCCATCAGTTTAGTTGCCCTTACACACCAGAGCAGAATGGTGTGGCAAAACGAAAACATTGGTCTCTTGTTGAACTTGGCTGAACTTTAATTGCTCATTCCGGTGTTCCATTGGTTTATTGGTTTGAAGTTTTTCTTACATCCGTTTATCTTTTGAATGGATTACCTTCTGTTCATCTTGGTCACATGTCTTCTTTTCAAAATTTGTTTCATCATTCCATTGATTTTTCATTTCTTAAGGTTTTTGGTTGTCTATGTTATCCTTGGTTACAACCGTATTCTGCTCATAAACTGGACTTCAAAAGTATACCTTGTGTTTTTCTTGGTTATAGCTTAAATCATAAGTGCTATCATTGTCTCGATCCTATCACTCAAAAGATTTATATCTATAGGCATGTTCATTTTCATGAAACTATTTTTCCTTTCAAAATAACGTCTTCCTCTTCCACCATCCCATTTCCTTCCTCCTTTTTTGCTAGTTGTCCTTCAATTCCAGCTTGTGTTCATATTGCCGATCCTCCACCTACTCCTCCTGCTTCTCATCCTCCTCCTCCTACTTCTCATCCCCCTTCTCCTCCTCCTCCTCCTCCTCCTCCTCCCCCTCCTCCTCTTAATCATCCTCCTCCTCCTTCTTATTCTCCTTATTCACCTCCACATCCCCTATTAATACTCATCCAATGCAAACCCGAGCTAAAAGTGGTATATTCAAGCCTAAAATGCTATCTGCCACCTCACATTCTCTTCCCTCCACTATTATCACTTATATTTCTTCCATCCCTGCTACACCCAATACCTATAAACAGGCTGCAAAGGATCCAAGGTGGATTAAGGCTATGAATCTTGAATTTGCTGCTCTTAAACAAACTGGTACTTGGAGGTTGGTTCCTTATTGTCCTATTATGAATTTGGTGGGGTGCAAGTGGTGTACCGAGTTAAACACAAGTCTGATGATACAGTGGATAGGTTTAAAGCCCGGCTTGTTGCTAAGGGTTTTCATAAACAAAGTGGTTTGAACTATAATGAAACTTTTAGTCTGGGTGCTAAGCCTACCACTATTTCGCTTATTTTGTGTCTTGCTGTTCAGTTTGACTAGAGTATTTCTCAATTGGATGTTACTAATGCATTTTTACATGGTCACTTGTCTGAGGCTGTTTACACGGTCTAGCCCCCAGGCTTTATTGATTCTTCTTTCCCTTCCCATGTTTGCAAGTTGGAAAAGAGCTTATATGGTTTCAAGCAGGCTCCCCGCGCATGAAGAATTAATGCAAGCTTTGCTATCTCTTGGTTTTACTACGTGCAAATCTTATACTTCTTTGTTTGTTTGAGTTGCTGATACTGTGACATTTATTCTTGTGTATGTGGATGATATTCTGATCACTGGTAGTTCTTCTGCCATTTGCAAGCAATTGATTGGTGAACTTAGTGTTTTATTTTCAATCAAGGATCTTGGTGCTCTTCATTATTTTCTTGGCTTGGAAGCTCATAGAGATGCCTTAGGTCTTTTCTTATCACAGACCAAATACATAATTGATTTACTATAGAAAATTGCTATGGTTGGTGTCAAACGATATTCCTCTCCTACTTCTGCTGTTTGGTTGGATGCTACTTCTGGTGAACCATTGTCTAATCCCACTGAATTTCGGGCTCTTGTGAGTGCTTTGCAATATCTTACTTGGACGAGGCCCGACATCTCATTTTCTGTTAGTCAGTTATGTCAATTTATGCAATCTCCAAGGAGTCCACATTTAGTTGCTACTAAGCGGGTTCTTCACTACCTTAAAGGCACAAAGACTGAAGGTTTGTCTTTTACTACGGGTTCTCTTGCTCTTCACTATTATACATACTTTGATTGGGCAGGGTGCCCTGTGGATTGACCCTCTGTTAGTGTTTTATGTGTTTATTTGGCCCTAATTTGGTGTCTTGGAGTGCCAAGAAACAAGCCACTGTGGCTCGATCTAGCACAGAATCAGAATACAGGGCTCTTGCTATTGTTTCTGCTGATCTTATTTGGATATGTATTGTTCTGCGTGATCTCCAATTTTTTCTCTCTGCTTCTCCTTCTATTCACTGTGATAATCTTGGTGCTTTGGCCTTCACAGTAATCCTGTTTTCCACTCCCGAACTAAGCATGTGGAAGTGGATTTTCATTTTATTCGTGAACTGGTTTCTACTTGCGCTATCACCTTGCATCATATTACTACTATAGCTCAAGTTGATGATATGTTTACCAAGCCTCTCTCTGTTGATCGGTTTCTGTCTCTTAAATCCAATCTGAAGTTGTGTGACCCTTCAGCTTGCGAGGGGGTGTTACAAGTATGTCTCAGCCATCAATACAAGTTCTTACTAACAACTCTGAACCTGCACATAGAAAATCACTTGTAGATCAAGTAGGCTCAGATGATGACACATGTCGTGTTTAGCTTAACTTTGTTGTTAGATGTTAGTTACAGGTTATTATTCATAGCTGGTTTTCTATCTTGTATAAAAGAAAACTACTGCAATTATTATTATTCAAGTGAATGAAATCAAAATTCCAGATTTACTTTTCTTTCTAATTTTCTGAGCTAACTTTCTCAGCATCCAAACACACAATTCCAGATTTCTCATCACTCTCCCTCTATACTCTCTCTCTCTCTCTCTCTACTCTCCCTCGAACACCCACAACCCATGTCCGAGCCCTAACCTGTAAACCGTGACCCATTCTCCCTGTATATATATTTTTTATCTCTCTCTCTCCTCCCCAACCCCCCCTCCCCCCCCAACCTAAACCAGTTAGGTATACTGGAGATGGCTTTGAGGTGGTGGCCTGATAATTGGGGGAGGCCTTGGAGTGAACGCTCAAGAGGAGAACGATGGTGACGGTAAAGGCGAGAATGAGAGTGATGGAGAAAAGGGAGATTAGGATGAGCTTTTTACTGCTGCGGTTGGACGATGATGCGTTTTTGGGGGTGTACAATTGGGTGGGCAAGCTAAAGCATGAGAAACTAATCTCGTAAAACCTAGCCAAATTAAATTGTTGATTGGAGTTAAATTTGGAATAAGGAAGAAAAGAACAAATTCTGGGTTTTTAATAAGGAAGAAAGCTTGAGACCTAGCAGATCAAAATGGATTGGGATGGGATTTTTCTGAAGAAAAAAAAACAAGAGTATTTTCTTATTTGGGTGATTTTGCTGGCATGATATGCCAAAAATAATGGACAAAGAGTTAAGTAAGTGGCTCCGATGGTGATTGAGAGGATAAGGGGCGGCTAGGGTGAGAAGGACCAAATTGCCATCGAATTATGTTACATGTGTTGCTCATGTGTAATTATTGACTGCAATTTGGATGAAATTGCCTCAATTATAGCAGTAAGTGTGAAACTGACCATATAAATTAATTCAGGTGCTAAATTGACTCATTTGTCAGTTCAGGGTGTAAGTTCATTAAGAGAGAGAGAGAGAGAGAGAGAGTTTGGGAAGTCTTTTTGTTTTAAGAATATTATTTTTAAATAATTTTATATTGGTTTTTTGACACATCAATTGCATGTCATCAATTTAACTGAAGACCAAACGGTGAACCTAACGGAGAGTGTAAATTGGTCAAATTTTAATACACTAGGGTAAAAAGTGATTAAATTAAAACCTTGTGGCCCATGTTAATAATGACCCCAAACATGTAGGGGTAAAATGTCACTTATCCTAAATTTAAGCAACCCGCCATGACTGGCGTTGACTGCTTGGATACATTGTATATTTAATTTCTATTTTGACTTTAATTATTGGATATAAAAGAAAGTATTGGAGCTCCTACTATGCGATGAGTTACTAATTAAGTACATTTTAAAATAATATATATATATATATATATATTGTGCAATTAGGGAAGGGAAGATTGTCTAAGAGATGAAGAACTTGAAGAATTTTTACATTCAATGCATCTCTCTCTCCCTAAGGCCTCTAGAACTCTGTATTGGACATTAGCCTATTCTTATACAATTGCTATGTAGATGGCGTATAGTATAAGGAAAATCATATTTGAGGTTGATGCATTGGAGGTTTGATCCCCTCGAAGTGATCTACTCGCCTTCTTCCTTCCATTTCATTTTTCTAGTACAATTGATAGGAATTGATATCACCCTCAGTGCTTGTAGTTTATGATTTTGTTTGTTTTATAGGATATTTTGTGTTTCTCTCTTTTCAGCCGAGGTGGCCGATGGAAGGAACTTTTGGCGCGTGCCACCGCCAAGCCACCGAATGGCTTGGATGGAAAAGGTTGGATTGATATGTTGTGCTTCTAACTTTTGATCAAGTGATTGATTGGCAAAGCAAAGAACCTCCTCTTGACCTAGGTTCTTTCACTTCCTTGGGTTCGAGGATAGTTGGGCTTCATATGGATGTTTTTGTGATTTTTAAGTTTTTTTAGTAAAAACAATGCAAATAAATTAAGGACGTGATTAAACTAAAAGATGATAGTTAAAGTGCGATAAACTAGATCAAAGAGATAAATAAACGTAAAATAAAGCAAGAACAAAATAAGAACGATAAACTAAATTAAACTTAATGAAAATGCGATAACAATGAAAAGTAAAGCAATTGAAATAAACTTGAATTTAAAAGACAAGATAATGTAAATTGCAAGAAAGTAAACTTACACTAAGAAAATGAAGAACTTGCTACACTAATTCTTGAAAAGTAAAATCCTAAGTCTAGGGAAAGAAAAGTGCAAGACAAAAAATAGGTTTGTGTGTTTGATGATATGTGTCTTCTCTCTTCATCTAACGAGGTTTATATAGGGGCATTTGCCAGCCCATGGGTTGGCCATTAAATGGCCGAGGTCAACTCTTTTGAAACTCCTTCCTTCTGAGGCTCACTAAATTTGTGGGATTGCTTTGACTGAGATAATTTGTTTGCTTGAGTTTCTCTTCTTTTAGAACATTCCGGATTATCATCACTCATCTTGATTTCTTTCCTTGTAAGGCCTCTATCACGTGTATGCAATGCTTCGAAAATCTTGGGTTCAAATCTGTGGCTTGGGCTTGGACCTTCGAGACTTCATCTTGACATCTGGTGGAACATTGTGACCTTAAGTTCCTAGAATTCTAGAGTTGGTTGACAATCCACCAAGGTGGGTGGTATGGGAACTCCAAATCTTTGGATGTTGGGAATTCTAGATTTGGTTGAAAATGCCTGGAAGTTGGCATGGGAGTTTCGAGAAAACTGTTATTTAATTATCATATTTATTTATTAATACACATATTAATAAATTTGAGCAAGGCCATAGCAACGAAGAAACTCAAGCATGAGACTTGGCGTCGACGAGGAACCTCGATGGGTGATGGTCACTTGGTCACACATAGCAATGAGGAACCTCGAGCATGGGACTTGGCTTTAGTGAGGAATAGCATAACTCTCTTCACCAGAACTACCTCGACAGAACTCCCTTCCATAGAACTCCCTTCGCGGAACTCCCTCGGTGGAACTCCTTTTTGCCGAACTTACCTCAGCGGAAATCCCTCGATGGAACTTCTTTTCGCGGAACTCCCTCGGCAGAACCCCCTTCTATCGAACTCCCTCGGCGGAACTCTCTTTGACAGATTGGAGATCCGGAAGCTTTGGAGATTCCTCCTTGGTGGATTGGAGGTCTCCAAGTTGGTGGATATAGGGAAATTTGACCACCCCCAAACATTTTGTATCACCCCTCTCTCTATTCCCAAGCTCCTATATGCTTGACATTGTTTGTTGTTCAAACTGCAGATTTAGTGAAAGTTGCTAATGGAGTTTCTCTTGAAGATACGGAAGGTTTAAAAAACTCTTGAGAATGTTACAATTATTTGATTTTGGTTGTAACATATTTAATTTGGTTGCGATTTTTATTGTAATTTTGGATTTTTGTTGTATTTAATTTGTTTGTGATTTTGGAATGTTCATAAAATTGTTATTTTTATCCAATATTTAAATTTTAAAAAAGTTATTTGTTAAACTGGTTACACGGGTCGTGTCGTGGCAACTCGTTTATAAAAGAAATGTGTTCGGGTTGAGCATTTTTGACATATTTAAAATACTGACATGACATGACCCTTCGTCGGGCCTACTTTCAATGGGGAATAATATGGATTATTTGGTCATACTTTGAAAGAGCATTAGACAAATTAACCCCACATTCTTTTAGGTAATTGCACACATACATAAAAATTAAGGGTATGTACAAGAAAGTCATGTGAAGATAAGACCAACAGTATTAGCCTGTTCTTATTGTTTTCATTCATTTGTTACGTTGAATGTTTATTTGGGGATCCAATGAAGTTGCCGATTAGCATCATCCACTTAATTTGACTGTGACGAACAGGGGCGGAGCTAGAATTGTAAAGTTAGGGGGGCCGAAATAGAAAATATAAGTATATAAAACACCTAAATATTCAATACTTACATGTTTTGAGCTAAATATTTCTAATTAAGTCATATCTAATTTGTTTTAGAGGATATTTTAACTTAAATTCTAAGTTGTTTATTACAAATTCGATATATTATATATAATATAATAGAGGAGTGATAAAAATATGGGGGGGCCAGGGCCACTCCAGGTCTAGGAGTGGCTCCGCCACTGGTGACGAAGACAAAAGAAGAGATCCTATTGTTTCTTGGCATGTCTTTGGTAGAAGGCTTTTATCCTCTGAAGGCCATCTTCAAGTACTGGAAGCTCAACATCAAAAGTAATGCGAAGCCAATTTTTCAGTCCAACAGTGACCCCTGAAAAATTTGAATCAATGAATATCTAACTAAGCAAACCATTTTAAGTTAACATCTACTATATTTGGCCGTGTTGCTAAATTACAGTATGACATGTTATGTTCTCAGAGTGCAATATTATTGAGTAAGAGAAAGTTCACAAGTTGTTCAATTATTTGTACCTGGCAAAACAATCATTGATTCCTCTTTGGCCAACTTCAAACAAAACTATATATCATCATCAATGCCTCACTACTACAAAAATCAAAATAGAGGACGGAAAACCACCGTCATCTAGAAGGTTTTCCAACTGTTGTGAAATCGACCACCATCTTTTGTACAACCAACAACGACGGTTAATAACCGACGTCGTTAAGTAATTCAATGTCCAAATTTATTACGAACCGACGTGTAATTACTATATAATTAGCGTAAAATGAAATCTTCGATAACATTAAACGACGGTTTTATGAAAACTGAGACGTCTAAAGAGTTTTACATGTCAAGATCAATAGAAGAACCGACGTACAGATAATTATCCACATCCCTAAAAGAAGGAAAAAAGACTTGGATAAGCTCGAAACCGTCGTGGTTAATTTGTACTATGTTAAACAAACAAAAAAACCGACGTCTAAAACATAAACTACGACCTTTACACAAATCAACATACATTTAAAGAGTATTGCATGTCATTTGGCTCCCAATAACCACCGTAACATGATATAACCACGTCTTGCACCTAGCATCACCAACGCTTATGTAATTATCCACGTCGAGAACTTTAATAACAACCGACGTGGTAAGTATATTCCACGTCTGTTACTTGCGAGACTCGTCGTTTAAATTTAACAAAGAAGGCCCTTTGACACAGTTAGACGTCACTTTTTCTAAATAACTGACGTCTAAAAGATTTAAAATGACAAAATATTACTCAATATTGACGTACAAAACTATACTCCACGTCGGTTGTTGTCAAAGGATGACGTTATAAATAGTATTGAAGGCATGGATAGAAAAATAACCGATGTGGATTATGTATTCAACGTCCGTGGCGTTAAAATAATGGACGTGGTTAATTAAATCACTACGTCTAGAGATCCATCTGGTTGACGTTGTAATTGCTTACCATGTCGGTTTTGATTACATAATGACGTAGTTGTCCTTTTAAAAGTTGCTTGTTTAACTTGCCTTGACGTATGTATGCTCGAAGACGTCAGTTATTTTAGACTATCCGACGTGCAGAACATCTGTCACGACAGTTAATGGAATTAAACGACCTTTATTTTGACCTTTAGACGACGGTTTATTTTAACCAAACCGACTTGATTTCTTTTTCATATGTCTATTTTTTTGCTTTACGGTCTTTTGCCTTTTTAAAACCCAACGTTTTTATTTTAGACATCTGTGTTTCCAGTTTTTTTACCGGACCGTCGTACTTTACAGCTTTAACCTAGCTTTTTTAATTGTTGATTTGTCGTGCCCAAAGCCTGCATATAATGAATATGTGATCAGAATTAAAATGATGTACAGAATTATTAATTAGTGTCATACAATTAACTGAATAACTAATGTCATACATTACAACAATCAATCAATCCATATATCTTCACACCCATCTCTAATATTTTCATTCCCTAACTCTCCCACTAGGTCATCAAATGTGTCAACATTTGATATCCCTCTAGTAAATGGCTCACACTCAATTCTAGTATCACTTAGCACATCATCACCAATAACATCATTATATTCTCTATTAGGCATTGATAACACTACCGACCAACCACGATGCATTGGGTCGTCAACATAAAATACTGGTTTGACTTGAGAAGCCATAACAAATTGGTCATTCCTATGTCCAATTTTACTTAGATCTACAAGGGTAAATCCAAGTTCGTCGACTACAAGGCCCGAAGTGTTATCTATCCAATCACACCTCAAGACTGGGATTCTAAACTTTTGGTAGTCAAGGTCCCAAATTTCTTGAATAACATCATAAAAACCCATATTGGAGACAATAGAGTTTTTATCCTTGGCACTAGCAAATTGCTTAGTATGTGCAAGTAAATAAACTCCACTATTTTAGACAATTCGCACATCATCTTGTAACACCATTAATAAGATAGCTCCTATATGATGACATTGTCATGCTTGGACCAGCTGCTAGCCACCTCAAATTTTCTGATACGCCATTATACTCTTCCCCATTAAGTTCACTTTGAACCTGCAATCTAACATATATAATGGAAGAAAATTAAAGTTGAATATGCATGTCATTCAATAACATATATATACCTTAAAGTGGAGCCATTGAATGAAAGTGCTATTGTGCTTATCTTGCAGCCACTTTGTTCTCTTTCTAAATTTTGGACAAGTGGTCTTGATGTGGATCATATGTTCCCTACATTGACATGAAAAAATCAAGCATTATGGTCCCTTGTATATAAGATAAACATAAGGAATAATAATATTTAAAATGGCGCTCCATATGAAAAATAAAAGTCATACTTACTCGATATAAGGTAGGACTTCCTCCGTATTCTCCAAGACATATAGATGTGTCTAGTTCAACAAGTCCCGATCAACTAAGCTTACTGTGCAACCTGATAATGGCTTCGAAACTCCTATCTTCTGGCTTGAAGGCACTCCAACTATACTAACATCAGATAAATGCTCGGTTCCAAACTCTACAGCTTCTTTAGCTATATACCGCTCAGCAATGCAACCTTCTGAACGATTACGGTTCTAAACATACCCTTTTAGCACTTTCATATACCTTTCAAATGAATACATCCATCTAAAATATACTGGGCCACGTAGACGAACTTCTCTGACAAGATGTACTACTAGATGAACCATGATATCAAAGAATGAAGAGGGAAAGTACTTCTCAAGCAAACACAAAGTAACTACTACATCTTCTTCCAACTTATCTAGCTTGGAAACATCTACTGTCTTTGTGCATATAGAATTGAAGAAGAAGCACAATCGAGTTATTGCATACCTTGCAGGCTTCTCCAAAACAGAACGAATTGCCACAGGGAGCAATTGTTGCATCAAGGTATGACAATCATGATATTTAAGTCCAAGAAGTCTTGAATCTTTTAAAGATACAAGATTTTTTATATCTGAACAATAACCTTCAGGGACCTTCATACCATAGAAAGAATTGCAAACCGCTCTCTTCTCTTCTCTTGACAAATTCCAAGGCCCTGGAGGCAAGCGAGTACGTCTTTGTCCATACTCAAGTTGCAAATCAGTTTTGACCCCTATGTTCAATAATTCTAACCAAGCAGCAATCCCATCTTTATTTTTTCTAGGGCTCTCCAGCAATGTACCAATGATACTATCGCAAACATTCTTCTCAATATGCATAATATCTAGGACATGCCTCACATGGAGGTATTTCCAATACTCGAGATCAAAGAATTTTGATTTCTTCTTCCAACAAACTCTGTCACCATCATTCTCACCAACACTTCCCCCATTTTTTGAGCCCCTTATGTAATTAATATCTTCAACCATATGCAACACTTCTTCTCCGGTTAATGGCTCGGGAGGCGTGCCATATTCAGGTTTCCCATTAAAAGTTGAACGCTGCTTCCGATATGGATGATTGATTGGTAACCATTTTCTATGCCCAATGTAACAAATTTTGTGACCATTTTTCAACCTGTGACTAGGTGTATCATCGCCGCATATTGGACAAGCTTTATATCCTTTAATGACACAATTAGATAAGTTGTCATAGGCAGGAAAATCATTAATTGTCCATAGTAATACACCTCTGAGTGTAAAGTATTCTGTTATATGTGCATCATACACTCCTCTAATCCCATCCCACAGAGATTTTAAATCATCAATCAAAGGCTCTAAGTAGACTTCTATATCATTTCCAGGCTGTTTAGGACCGGAAATCAATGAGGTTAACATCATGAACTTCAGTTTCATGCATAGCCATGGTGGGAGATTATATGTAACTAAGATAACTGGCCAACAATTGTATCTGCTACTTAAAGAACTGTGGGGATTGAATCCATCAGATGAGAGAGCCAATCTCAAGTTTCTCAGCTCTTTACCAAACTTGGGCCATTTATCATCAACAAGTTTCCAAGACGGGGAATCTGCTGGATGAGACATCTGACCGTCAACTGATTTTCTAGCAGCATGCCAAGTCAAACTCTTAGCTGTCTAAGTAGGACAATTAGTTGAATCTTCATAATCCTTCCCATACAAGATGTAGTCATTGGGACATGCGTGGATTTTCTCATAACTCATCCCTAAAGCAGACAATGTCTTTTTTGCCTCGTACATAGAGGAAGGTAGTGTATTTCCTTCAGGAAGCAAATCTCCTTGAAGTATCAATAATTCTGTAAAACAAACATCACTCATCCCATGTTTTGCTTTCAAATTATATAACTTCACCAAAGCCGACAACATCGTGTACTTACTACTACCAAGGTACAAGGGTTGATCTCTATCCCCAATCACATCGGCAAACTCATAAGGATCAAATCCAATATCGCCTAAATCATTATCATCCATCCCTACTTCTTCAGAAACAAAACTGAACCTACTTTGCTCATCTTCTTCTACATTTCTACTAGCATTAGCAGTCCATTCCCAAGGTTCTCCGTGCCATGTCCAAATCTTATTGCTTGGGTCAATTCCATTGAAGTATAAGTGGTCCCTTATAATTCCAACTCCAAACAATTGAATATTCCCACATTTAACACATGGACAACGAATATGAGTTGTATTTCCAATATTTTATACAGCAAAATTCAAAAATCCTTCCACACCTAACTCATATGCCTTCGATATTCTATCCGCATGCATCCATGACTTATCCATCTCACACACTATAAAATCATACATATGATAAAGTGAAAAGACCAGCAATGAAACAATACTATATATGAAAGAGAAAGAGAAAAAAAAAAAAAAAAAAAAAAAAAAAAAAAAAAAAACAAGAATCAGACAGACGGTTTTTACAAAATAATAGTCGCGTAACATAGATTAAGACGACGGCATGTCTATTTACCAACGAATAATAGTCGCGTAACATAGATAAAAATTTAGACGACGGTTGGTCCCACCAACCGTCGTCGTGGTTTACAAAAAACCAAAGCCTAATTCTTCCATCCCCATTCCTTTTCAAAGAACCCTTAACAGAATGTAAACATCAAAACATAAAAGAACCCATAGCTCCCAAAACATAAAAGAACCTGTATTAAGATAAACCAAAGGTGAGAGAATATACAAACTAACAGAATATTTAGAGAGATCTGAGAGAATATACAAACTAAGAGAATATTGAGAGAGAGTTGAGAGAATATATATATACAAACTAATAAGAGAATATTGAGAGAGAGCTGAGAGAATATACGTACATGGATATTGAGAGAGCTGAGAGAAAATATCAAATGCTTGAGAGAGCTCAGAGAATATACTCAATGCTTTGAGAGAGAGCAAAAACTTTAAGACAAATTTACGTTGAAGAGAGAGAAGGAAATACTTTAGGGTTAAAGGAAAATTCTGAAAATTTTAGATCCCGGTCAAAAATTTCAAAGGACCACATTTATTGAAGACGACGGTAAATACAACCCAGTCGTCGTTGTATTTCAGACTTACAACGGCGGTTATGTTACACCGATGTCGTTGTAAAGCGTTTTGACGTCGCCCATACAAAAACCGACGTCTAAAGTATTAAATAATTAGATTTGCTTTACGTTTCCTCGCATTTGAACGCACGTAATTGACCAAAGAGAGGGAGAGAAACCAGCGTCGTTTTAATAAAACCTAAACCCTAAACCCTAAATTTTACAATAATTATAACAAAAATACACAAGTATGAGAAAAATGAACCGAAAATTGCTACGGACTCCTTACAACAATGCCTTCTATATTAGTAGGCTAATATCCATATTAAATAATTTTGAATTTTATGACCACCAATGGATCACATAAACCTTAGGGTTATGTGTTATGGAAAGTATATGACTATTGTGCTTTGTCTCTAAATCCTTTTGACTTTTGTTATCACTTCTAATTTTGAAATCTAAAATTCAAATTTTCAGGCATGTAGGGGGGAGATATTGCCTCAATGAGTGCATAGAATTTGTCAGTTTATTTTTTGGAATTTGTTTTGAAATTATTATGGAATATTAGGAATAAAATATAAAAGTCATACAAAAATTAAATGACAAATGTACATAATCGACGTTGCATCCGTTTACAACGACAGTACAGAACACATAACGCCGTCCTCAAACACATTAGACGTCGTAATGTACTCCCCGACGTGGTTAGTATGTTACTACATCAACCTTTTCTTAATGACCGACGTAAGTAGAATTTACACCGTCGATTATTATGTTAATGATGACGTTGTTTTGATATACAACGTCACGTTTTACCTTGTAACCGACGTTGTACTCTTTTAACACGTCCTCTCTATTGTACTAACAGACGTTGTATGTCTATATTAACCGTCGTGTATATCAACCTTATATGACGTTTTTGAGAAATGCAATCGATGTTTTCTTTCCCTCTACTTCAAGACGGCGGTTGTTCATAGATATGAGACGTGTAAATAAGAATAAGACGTCGGTTTTTGGGACTTAATTTAAATTTTTGTGATATATTTTCATTTTATTTCATTTAATGACATAAATATCTTATCCAAAAAAAAACTAGCAAAAATATATTTCATTTGATTTTTTTTTATGAATGTTCAATTAATTACCAAAAATATGTTTATATACATTATCAAAAATTAAAAAAAACATAAACATTTTTATACATTATCACTTATTGTTCTATAATTGCTTGTTCACGAATTCTGCCAATTCTAGCCTGACTTCGTCAATAAGTTCTTGAGTATACACAACTGGTTCCTTTTTCTTGTCAAACTGCAAATAAAGAACAAATACCGACGTTTTATAAATATTAAGACGGTTTTGAAAGAAAACGTTGTGGTATTAAAACGAAGAAATTATATCTTAAATTTTACCTTCTTCTCAAATGCTAGGCATGGATCAGGAATTATATCTCTCATGAAATGCATCACGTAATAGCCACACTCTACATTTGTTGGTTGTCTAGGAGTGCCTTCTAGATTTTTCCATATGGGTGATTTACATGATGATTGTTTGCTTGTGTAAGAGTTATACATTTTGATTGAACTGTTTCAAGAAAACAAAAAGTGTTAATGATAAGAACTGTCGCTATGTATCATTCTAACGTCGATGACGAAGAAAAACGATGTATAACCAAAATTGTTTTTAAATTTTAAAGTCGAATAGAAAAAATTAAAACGTCCTAAAATGAAAAACACAAACGACATCGTATTTCAATGAAGACGACGGTTTCAAGAAAATACTGACGTTGTAAATGATTTTAAACGTCGGTTATAATATACCGTCGTTGGGTTTTCACTACAACGTTGGTATTTGAAAAATCTGTCGTATCATTCAAATGCATAATTAAAAAATCTTACTTTTTTGTTAATATACTTACGTATTCACTACATTTCTCATGTCCTCATCAATAGAGCGGTTTGGCAATGAATCCATCTAATAGACAGTCTCCTTAGCTGGTCTCACAATTATCAACACCCAATGACTCCTACACAAAATGATCCATATATATTAAATATACTACAAAGAAAAAATATTACAAGGGACCAAGTATAGAAGGGCACTAACCCTGGATTATAAGGCACCAAGTAAAATTGATCCCCATCTACGTTTTTCAGGCGTTCTGAGAGATGTTTTGAACGGTGAGATAACGTTCCAGATTGAGAGCTGACTTGTCTAGGGTCCACGAGGCCAACAAGGTTTACCATATTTACCATATTTAAATAGTCAAATAAGTACCTAATTAAATATATGAAATTCAATTAAATGAGATTTTAATTTAAAAGAAAGGAAATGTAAAAAAAAAAATTGGATTTCTAGAATTACCTCATGTATATTGCAATCACTGTGGATCCAATCTCAACCATCGAAGCAAACTGTAAAATTCCTTCACTCAAGAGCCAGGTATCATGATCAGTGCCAAACACTTCCTCTGGCATGTAAATTCTAATGGTCTCGTTAGCAGGCTTCAATTTGGTCTCTTGACATATTGGCATAGGGCTAACAGAGGACCTGGCATGTCAAGCTTTGACAGATCCTGTAACAAGAAATAAATAAAGTTTGTACATGAAGTAAAATAAACGACTCCAACATATCAAAAAACGACATGGTATATGTTTGTACCATATCTGACCCCTACTCATGAATTAACACGTGGCAAAATCTGCACGGCCAGACCAGCTAAGTGAGCCATGCTGAAACTTCGATCGGCATGCTCCACCAATTCATACTGGTCATATCTGAACCTTCGGCAGACGATGCCGAGCGACCAGTCAACACATTCGACCAATTTTGACAGATCACCTCGGAACTCCCACTAGAACCTGTCAGGGCACGCGTCGACCGCTGAAGACACTCTCACGAGTCCCACATCAAAACTAAGTACCAAGAGCATCACAAATGCTCTCTATAAATAGAGCCCCTTGGCCCAGCCAAGAGGTAAGACTATTTTCTTTACTTGACTTGTGTTTTCACTGTGTCAATAGAATTGCTCTTAGTCACTAACTTTGGCATCGGAGGACCTTCGGCCGACACCACACCGGTGTCCTAGGCTTCACCTGCCGTTTCTCTCCCCAAGCAGAATTCGACATTACCCCTCGTGGGAAGACACCACAGATCGAGGGCTTCTCGAGTCCAAACCTTCCACGTCACCTGTAAGTTAGCTTTATTTATATGTGTTTAGTTTTAGTGCTAACAGATTGGCGCCGTCTGTGGGAAGCTCGATTGACAATGAGCCCATATCTCTTTTTCCACATAACTATGAACCCACCTTCGCCCCTTGGGACTGATGGTCCTATCCTCGGCCTAGCTAGCAGAGCGAACCCTACTGTGCCACCCGGCACACCCTGAGTGGAAACACCTAGTAGGCCGAACACCCTGAAGGATAGGATGGAAGCCCTACAGCGGGAAATGGCCAAAATGCAGGAACACAACAACATCCTTTCTTCCAAATTAGAACACACTCAGAAACAACTTCACGAGCAACAATCACACTCAGCCCAACTGCAGGACGGTTTGGAACAGACCATGCAGCTTCGACGAGAACAATAGCTCATAAGCATGCCAAAACCTAGTGGCCAGGAGACAGGAAAACAACCGGCCACAGGTGGGCCGTCAGCCTCCCAAAGGTTGTTTGTACCTTCTCCAGAAAAATGCCATCGAGAATATCGAGTCTACTCCGACTGTTGCGATAGACTCAACGATCGGCGTAGGGAACGACAGACTTCCCCAATTCTCGTCCAAGCGAAGCTCAACGATCGGCAACTGGACGTACTCGGACCATAATCTCCTATTCGCCGAAGGTATAATGCGATCGGTCTAGAAGAAATCGACGAATCTGACTACGTTTCGATTTCTCTTGGGACGATGATCTCATGCCAATCAACAACATTGGATAAGCTAGAAAAAGCGATCAGCGGAAAGGAGGCCTAGAGTTGTAAAGGACTCACTGATGAAGGCCAGTGCCTACTATTTTCATCCACCTTAACCAGAGTGACCTTGAATTGGTTCTACCGACTGGAGCCAGGTACGGTAGACTCTTTCGATCAATTAAAACAAATCTTCCTCAATCATTTTACGATACAGACTGATCGCTTTTACTTCGCCGACTACCTTTACACCATTCGGCAAGGAGACAATGAGCCTCTTCGAGAATACGCTGCCAGATTCAGCCATGAATACTCTCGGTGCCCACAGACCGATGACAGAGCAGCCTTTGGCGCTTTCAAAAGCAGCCTCCGAGCATCTCAATTCCGCTATTTGGTCCACAACAGCAATTGGACGACCTATAGCAAACTGATGAAACAGGCAGCCATTCACGCCAATGCAGAGCACTTTAACTCCAAAGGGGTGCATTCGACAGCTCCCAGACGTAGGTCAAGCCCCGGCACCAGCCTACGATTGATTCACGCCACACCAAATCACGAATCAAGCTCCCTACCGAACGGCACCTTCCGTGTTAGCCCCTTACACAGCAGGAGACAAGCGAAGGGACGGATTTCAGGGTCGGCAGGACGGAGGCAAACGCAATAAAGAGCAAAGTGGTCGAGCCAATTTCCGAAGCGTAAAAAGGGTCCGACCAGAGGAAGTTTTTATTGCGCTTAACTCAACTTACGAACATGTCCATGGCCGAAAATCAGATAATTTCGAAGCCCAGCAACCGGAAGCTCCCTCGACAAGTCGACAAAGATACGGGAGTGTTCTGCCGATTCCACCAGTACAATGGCCATGATATTGAATCATGCATCGCCCTCCGAAAATTGTTGAAAAACTAATCAGCGAAGGCAAGCTGGACCAGCATCTGAGTGCACAATCGGCTCTCGAACACCCGACAATCGCCATATCAACATGATCAGCAGCGATACACCAATTGCCGATTCCAGCAATCGGTCCGTCAAAAATTACGTGCGTGCCGTTTGGCATTCTCGGGTCCTCAGTATCACTGAAGGGTGCAACAGCAAAATTCGGCGACTCGGGTGGGAGCCCATCACCTTTTCCGAGGAAGAAGAAAAAGGCCTCATTTTCGCCCATATCGACCCCATGATTATTCGGGCAGATATTGCCGATTTTGACATAGGCCAAATCCTCATCGACATTGGTAGTTCAGTCAACATACTCTTTGTCGATGCTTTCACAAGCCTCAGAATCGAACGCCAAAGCGTCAACAAGGACATCACCCTCCATTTTAAGCTTCTTGGGCAATGTGGTGGAGCCAATTAGAAGCATCCAACTTCCCCTTGCCATCAGCACCATCCCCAGAAGGACATTCATCTACACTCACTTCTTGGTGGTCGACTGTCCGACAGCTTATAACGCCATCATTGGCAGACCCGCCCTCACCCGAATGAAGGCCATTTTATTGCTGCACATGCTGCTGCTAAAATTCCCAACGCACTCTGGGGTTGGCCAAATATGAGGGGACCAATTGAGCTCGCGGGTGTGTTATGTGTCGTCCACACGAGAATCGGCAACCCGGGTATCGGAGTGGAAGGCACCAAAGTCACTGGCAATTTCCACGATGACCATGTCGAACGACAAGGAAGGGTTAGCGCGTCCCGACGACCCTCGGGACGAGGGCGTAACGTCGCAAGCTCAACCTATCGAGGAGTTAGAAATGATACCCATCTCTGACACACAGGACCGGACGGTTCAGATTGGCACTTCCCTCAGCCTAACTCTTCGGACCGAATTCATCGCCTTTCTGAGGGCCAACTTGGAAGTTTTTGCCTGGTCCTACGATGACATGCCTGGCATCTCCCCGGATGTCATCTGCCTCAAACTCAGCATCTCCCCTTCTGTCAAACCGGTCCGACAAAAGTGACGGTCCTATGATGCCAAACGATACGAAGCAATGAAGCACGAGGTGGACAAGCTCCAGGCAATCGGCTTCATCCGTGAGGTAACCTACCCTATCTGGCTCGCTAATTCGGTTTTAGTAAAGAAACCTAGTGGAGCTTGGCGAATGTGCCAGGATTATACAAATCTGAACAAAGCGTGCCCAAATGATAGCTTATAGCTTCCCGCTTCCAAGAATCGACCAACTGGTGGACGCCACGGCCGACCACAAGCTCTTCAGCTTTATGGACGCCTATTCCAGCTACAACCAGATCTTCATGCATCCGGCAGATCGTGAACATACGACATTCATCACAGATAGAGGCCTTTACTGCTACAACGTCATGTCGTTTGGCCTGAAGAATGCAGGGGCAACATATCAACGCCTGGTCAACAAAATCTTTGCCGAACTCATTGGCACTTTGATGGAAGTCTACGTAGATGACAAGCTAGTCAAAAGCAGGACTGCCGACGACCATCTTCGGAATCTCTCCCTCATATTCGGCACCTTGAAAAAGTACAACATGAGCCTGAACCCAAGCAAATGCGCCTTTGGCGTCTCTTCGCGGCCTTGGCTCGCTTAATATCCAAAGCCACCAACCAATGCGCCCCCTTCTTGAAAGCCCTCAAAGGGAGTAAACGGTAGGTTATTTGGACTTCCGAATGCGACCATACGTTCGCATATCTCAAAGCCTACATGAGTAGACCCCTCTGCTGTCCAAACCTCTTCCGAGAGATAACCTCATCATCTACCTCTCGGTATCGGCAACAACATTAAGTTATGTCCTCATTCGTAGACCGAACGACATCGAGCTCCCCATATTCTATACAAGCTAGGCATTGGAAGACGCGGAGCAACGGTACCCCCAACTTGATAAATTGGCCTACACTCTCGTCCTCTCCGCACGCAAGCTTCGACCCTACTTCCAAGCTCACACCATCGAATTATTTACCAACCAGCCCCTACGACAAGTCTTGTAGAAGCCAGATACATTAGGGCGACTGATCAAATGGGCCATCGAGCTCGGTGAATTTGACATACGATACCACCCTTGGCCTGCTGAAAAAGCACAAGCTGTGGCCGATTTCATTTCGGAACTCACACCTCCTTCTAAAAATGATCGACCGACCGATCCTGTCAAGGAACCACCCTCGGCATCTGCAGATACACATCCAGCTGAACAGGCATTCGATCCCACAATTCCTCACTGGACATTATATGTGGACGGCTCATCTAATCGACAAGGCAGCGGCGCCGGCCTAGTCCTCAAAACACCAAATGACAACATGGCTGAATATGTCATCTGTTTTCGATTCCGTGCTTCCAACAACGAAGCCGAATATGAAGCCCTCTTGGCGGGTCTCCGGCTTACCAAGAGCATGGGTGCCAAACGGCTGACGATATGTAGCAACTACCAACTAGTCGTCAACCAAGTAATCATCGAATTCGAGGCAAAGGACGAGTCCATGGCAGCCTATCTCGCACAGACCCGCCGATTGCTTGATAAGTTCAAAACATACCAAATCCGACAGATCCCCAGATCTGAGAATAGTCATGTCGATGCTCTCTCAAGGCTCGCCTCAACAATTGATGATTGCGTCAGATGCCACGTCCCAATAGAGGTCCTCACTTGGCGAAGCACACACGAAGCCGAAGTCAACACTATTCGGCAGGGCCCAAGTTGGATGGATCCAATCCAAGCCTACCTCATCGATGGCACCCTCCCAATTGACAAAGCTGAGGCCAAATCTATCCAGCGCCGATCGGCGCGGTACCTTCTCTTGCAAAACATCCTCTATCGACACGGCCACTCCCTATCGTTGCTGCGATGTGTTGCGCCGCAACAGGGGGACTATATCGTACGAGAAATACACGAGGGCACGTGTGGCGACCATTCGAAATCCCGATCTTTGGCCTTCAAAGCCATTCGACAAGGCTACTATTAGCCCACTCTCCACACTGATGCTGTCAAAATCGTTCAAAAATGCGATCAGTGTCAACGCTTCGGTTCCATTCCAAAGCTACCTGTTGAACCACTTACTCCGATCACGAGCCGTTGGCCATTTGCGCAATGGGGACTCGATCTCATAGGCCCCATGCCGCATGGCACGAGACAACTTAAGTTTGCAGTCGTAGCCGTTGATTACTTTGCCAAATGGACCGAAGCCGAAGCACTCGCAATAGTCACGGCCGCTAAAATTGAACATTTCGTATGGAAAAACATCATATGCTGATTCAACCTACCCAACGCAATCTTTACAAACAACGGCAAGCAATTCGACTACTCTCGGTTTTGGCATCTCTGGTCCCGATTTAACATCAACATATTCTTTGCATCTCTGGCACATCCACAATCAAATGGGCAGGTAGAGGCCATAAACAAGATCATCAAGAAAACACTAAAGAAGAAGCTTAGAGCCGCCAAAGGCAACTGGCCAGCCATACTACCTGAAGCACTATGAGCCATCAATACCTCCTACCGAAGGTCAACCGGCGAGACCCCGTTCTCACTAGCCTTCGGCACCGAAGCTGTAGTTCCGGTAGAGGTACATGCTCCTACATCCCGAACGGCATCTTACGATCCTAGGCAAAATGGGCACCAACTCACCCTCAACCTGAATCTCATCGATGAGCACTAATCACAGGTACAACTTCAGAACACCGCCTACAAATAGCGAACAGCTCGGTATTACGACTCGCGCGTCAAACACCAATCGTTCAAGGTTGGGGATTGGGTTCTGCGAAAAGTATCTCTAGCAACGAGAAACCCCACCGACGGTACCCTCGGACCCTCTTGGGAAGAACCCTATGAAGTTGTCAGCATATGCCGACTCGGCACCTACCGATTGCGTGGCTCCGATAGCCAAACCCTTGGCCACCCTTGGAATGTTGACCATTCAAAATATTATTACAAGTAACCCAACCTTCGGTTAAAACTGTGGATTTTCCCTTTTTCCTTCGGCATCATTGTTCTCTTTCCTGTCCTATGCATTCAACCACGCCTTAGTAATACCAACACATACACTATCTACGGCAAGTATGCAATCATATGAACACAGTGGAAATACCAAACCAATCGCAAATTAACTATAGATAAAAGTCACAAGTGGGCACTTGTCCTAACAAAATTGGCCAAACGGTCGAATTGTTCCAAAGTCACTTATATACTATAAACAAAATAAGCATGCGAAACACAGTCAAGGCGTCGGAGGATCGGCAGGCACGATGTCAGTAGCTTCGGCCGGAGGGGCTGATGCCTCGGTTTCAGGAATGGTTGGCGGCTATGCAGAGGGAGTGGCTTCTTCCTCTTCACCACTCGACTCTGAACCACTTGAAGAATCGACTTCCACATCCACCCCCAGGTATGCCTCCACCATTTCTTTAGTCACCCTTTCGGGCAACGATGGCGGATTGCGGAGGAAGTTGAGGTTCAGTTTTTTGTCGGCATTGAAGCGCTTGAATCGGTATATCAGATCCTCGCATTGCTCCGGTATTCGTCTATGGCTTTTCTCTTCGCCTCCTCTAGCTCCGTCGCACGAGACCGAAGGACAGCTTCCTTTGCCTCCTTCGCCGCCGCCCTCGCCTCTTCGGCATCCACTGCCGCCCTCTTGGCCTCGGCCAGCTTCGACGATAGCTCTGCAATCTTCGCAGCATTTTCCTCAGCATGCCAATCCGCGTCTTGGATTAGCTTCCCTACCTCGGCGATCTTGGCTCGGCTATCATCGAATTTTTTCTGGACACGCTCGGCAGCATTAACGGCTCGTTTCATGGAGAGCCACATCTCCATATTAGCCTGCAACCAATGGAGGATCCAGGAATTTGTATAGGGGCAGGCTATTTTTTTTTATTATATTTTTTTATAGAGGAGATATATTATAAGACTTTTTTTTTCTTGAAACAAAAATGTAAATAAAATTCTATAAATTAAACAAAGCCACAATACGAGCAAATATAACACAAAGAAGTACAAAATATAAATAGATACCAACAATCTCAAAAAAATGTTCTCGTACAAAACCATCCTTATCAACAAATCTTAAAACAATGGTCATTTGCTCTCTATTAGATGCATCTTTTGCTTCATCAACAAGAATGCAATAAGTTGATTCCCTAAAAATACTAGACACGAAAAATCATAAATGCTAATTAATAATTCAAGTTGCAAAAATAAAACATATATCAACAATCTCCAAAATTTTCAATCAACCCCTAAATCATAAAAACTTAACAACAACAATTAAAATTGGAAATTGAATATATACATTTTTTTTAAAGAGAAAAACGTACCAAGATTGAAGAACCCACTCCAGATAGGTTGGTACAATTTTTTAGAGGAGGAGAGCTATTTCCTCTAGGCTCTCAAGATTCAAATATGGCATTTTGGGTGGCTAGAAAAAATTTGTTTATGTTTGCTGTGTGTGGGTGTAGCCCAATATCAGTACTATTAGAATAGCTCAAGTTGGTAGAGCCTTAGTGTGAGTTTTGCTTCTAATCAAATTTATATAGGTTTGGATTGGATTGACGTTTATTATTTCCTATATGCTTCAAGAGTGGGCTTATTTTAAATAGAGGACTGAGCTATTATTTACTTTACTTAGATTGGCCTATTATTAATTTATTTTAAAAAAGAAAAACAATGCATATGTGGGCTATATTTATTTGGTGCAATGGGCTAATATTTATTTGAGTAGAAATAAACCTATAACAATAAGACCATGTTTAATATTTCATATATGTTCCCCTAGGCTAGCGCCCACTCCAACCTAGCCTTAGATCCGCCTTTGCCTGCAACAACATCGAGTTAGTACATACCGATCGCATATATACTTGAACAAAACAACTCACACACTTACGGCAGCCTAAAGGAGGAAGGCTCGACCGGCCTGCTCGTGCACCGTCTTCATCGGCAGCTGCTCCAACTCCGGGAGCTCCATCTGAGGGTCGTCGATGAAGCAGTTCACAAACGGGACCACCTTCTGGGGGCATGCCACGTTCACCTGCTCAGCGTTAGCATCCTCCTCCTCGTCAGGCACGAGGACAGCCGCATCCTCATTCATCCCCCTTGGCCTCTTCGGAAGAGGGTTCATGTCAAGGGCACCTTCAATCACCCTCTTCCCCGTCGCCTAAAGGTAGGCCTCACAGATGGTTTTGGCCTCGGCCACCAGTCTTTCACGACGATGATCGGCCGCCGTCACCTCCGGCACAGAAGGCCCCTCGCCTGCCGAGGCGGTTTCGTCCTCGGCCTTAGTGAGTCGTGTTTCTTCTTCTTTTGGGGGCCTGCGACTCTAGCCGCCTCCTTGTGGCTTCATTCATCGCCCTACCACTAGCCACTGCACAAAAAAAATAAAAATAAATAAAATTCGATCGACCTACGGAAACATGGAACAAGACATGCCGAACGGCAGTCACTTACTTTTCCTCCTCTGCTCTTCTTCTTTCTCCTTCTGCTTCCTAGCATGCTCGGCCTCACTGATCAAGCCCACCTTGAACAAATTGCCAAAGTCAAGCAAGTCTTGAAGACACGTTCTTCTTTGGCAATTTTCGACCGTACACGCTCGATTATTTCAACCTCCCTTTTTGTCGCGATCGGTCGTTTCAAGGACACTACAATACGACAGTACAATTCTGGTCGTTTCAAGGCTACCGAACGGCATTCTATAGGCCTACCGACTGTCTGAAAGGTTGTGGGAATGTGCCTCTCAACGATCACATTTGGTGATGATTCCCAGGCTCCAGACACCAGCACACGACGCCGATGCCATGTCTTCTGGGAGCTCGGCACCCCAACCACGAAGTGCCCCCTCTGCCCTGTCGAAAGACAATTCGACTGCACCCATCCCCCCTGATCGGCACTCTTCGCCCTCAGCCGAAGCCCATGCTTGAAGGCATCGGTAAAGAAGACTACCTCACCGTCCGGATTGCTCAAGGACTCTAACGGCCCTGGGATCCGCATCACTACTGACTCCGACTTGAGTGTTTCAATTCTCACTTATTTGACCCTCCGACTTTTCAAAGAGCAAAGTCCATTAGCGAAGGGTAGGTGAACGCGGTCGTCGAGTTTTCACTCACCTCTCATGCCGAATGGCAGGCACGCGGTGGTCGAGTTTTCACTCACCTCTCATGACGAATGGCAAGTGCACACAGGTTGAGTTTTCACTCACCTCTCATCCCAAACGGCAGGTACGCGGTGGTCGAGTTTTCACTCACCTCTCATGCCGAATGGCAGGTACGCGGTGGTCGAGTTTTCACTCACCTCTCATGCCAAACGGCAGGCGCATGTGGGATGAGTTTTCACTCACCTCTCATGCCGAATGGCAGACACGCGGTGGTCGAGTTTTCACTCACCTCCCTTGCCGAACAGCGGCACGCAGTGGTTGAGCTTTCGCTCACCCTCGGCTTTTATTGCCATTCCCTTCCAATCTTCCAACCTCCCTTCTTGCTTGGGGACTTAGGGGACTACATGATCACCATCGGCATGATCAAACAAAGAAAGACACTCGTACTCAGGTCAGAATGCCGGAGCTCAGTGACAAGCAAGTCCCTAACCAAGAAGTCCCTCCTCGATCGGAAACTTGGGGGACTCCTGTTTGTACCATATCTGACCCCTCCAGTCACATCTTAACATGTGGAAAAATCTTTACGGCCAGACCAGCTTAGTGAGCCATGCCGAAACTTCGATCGGCATGCTCCACCGATTCATACTGGTCAAATCGGTGGAGTGCCTACAAACTGACAAAAGAAACCAACCTTCGGCAGACGATGTCGAGCGACCTGTCAATACATTCGACCGATTCTAACAGATCACCTCAGAACTCCCACTAGAACCTGTCAGGGCACACATCGACCGCTGAAGACACTCCCACGAGTCCCACACCGAAACTAAGTACTAAGAGCATCACAAATGCTCTCTATAAATAAAGCCCCTTAGCCCAGCCAAGAGGTAAGACTATTTTCTTTACTGGACTTGTGCTTTCACTGTGTCAATAGAATCGTTCTTAGTCACTAACTTTGGTAACAGAGGACCTTCGACCGGCACCACACCGGTGTCCTAGGCTTCACCTGCCATTTCTCTCCCTAGGCAGAATCTGTCATTACCCCTCGTGGGAAGACACCACAGACCGAAGGCTTCTCAGGTCCAAACCTTCCACGTCACCTGTAAGTTAGCTTTATTTCTATCTGTTTAGTTTTAGCGCTAACAGTATATAATATCAACGACGGTTTCTAAAACATGCTGACAGGGTAAAGGTTATAAACGACGGTAAATACATAACAGTCGTTGTGTAAATGTTATAACGTCTCTACACAATATGAAGGTCGTCTAGGTTAAAATAGAAGACGCGTTGTAAAATAAAAACCGACGTCTATTTAAAATTTAAAATCAGAAAAAATCAAATGCAAGAGATTGTACGGTTTCATCTTGACGGTTTTCAGGAGCATCAGCATCAGCATCATTCATGGGATTGTCTTCATCCAATTCAAGGGCTCTCACATTAGAGCAACTTGCTTTGTCAGACATTGGATTTTTTGGGCTTTGCTCTTGAGGAATTTGAGGAATTGAAGTAATTGGGGATCAAAGTTGGGAATTAGTTGACTGAATTGTTTCAACAAAATTTCCCTCTCTGCCCTAACTGCCTCCATAACACTTTCCTTTGCCCTGGCCTCCATCTTTTTGGTTTCCTCTCTCACTGCTTCCATAACACTTTCCTTCAATTTGTTAGCAAATTTTACTCTCTGCTGTCTCAGCAAATTGAAGAATTGAGTTGGGGAAACCCTAGCTCCAACACCTCTGACTCTCCCACCATGCTCAAGGGTTCCCAAAGCCAAGGTCAAAACATCGTTGCTGCCAGAGACGGTCAAAGTGCCCTCAGAGACTTGTTTTTTCAAATCATCCAAAGAGTGAGAGAGAGAATGTTAGTGAGTGAACAGATAGTAAAACTGATTAAATAAATAAATTAATAAAAATATTAACCAATGTGCTAAAGTGACTAAGACGACGGTTTATTTAAAAAACAGCCGCATAAAATAATTTAATACGTCGGCCCAAAACTACCGTCATGTTGTATACGTTAACACGTCGGTCCTTTAAAAAAAACCGTCATTTATTTGACATCAGAGATAAAAAAAAAAAACTTAACCAAAATATTCATTGATCCAGATATAGTGTACAAACCAATTGCAGAGAAATAGAGAGGGAGAGAGAGAGAGAGAGAGAGAGAGAGAGTGTGTGTGTGTGTGTGTGTGTGTGTGTGTGTGCGCGTGTGAATATGAAGAAAGTTCAAAATTTAATTTAAAAAACCTAACACATAAACACAAAACCGTTGTTGTAATTCTATACAGACGTCTGTTTTATAAAAATATTGACGTTATATATTTTTTAAAAGGCGGTAAATAAAAACCATCGTGGGGTTTCATATCTAACTTTGGTTACTAAAAAGATCGACGTCTGAATGAAAAATAAAACCTCTGTTTTACAAGTTTAGAATAGAGTCAGTGAGACTTATGATTAATTTTTCCTTCTCTGCAACCTTTGGATCAGGGATGTTTCCCTGTTTATCTTCTCTTGCCTTCTTCCATAGTAGAGATCGATCGATTTCTTCACTGGGCATGGTTTCTTCCAATTCATCCTCCAAACCAACGTACCCTTTTCGAGACAACCTATGGTTGTACTCGCATTTCTCCCTTCTTTGTGACTACTCAAAATGCACAGCCTCAAAATCTGGGGATAACCTTGAAGCTACAGAGGCATCCCATTGCGATTTCTCTATGAAGTTATAAAGTTGAGGAAGCTCTTTTAACTTCTCCTTCTCATTTGCGAATGGAATGATAAACTGCCTAGTTAAGGTAGACTTAAAATCCTTCTATTTTTTGGCGGCAGACGACAGCAAAAACATAAGCCATTTGAACAACTTCCGAAATCTACTCCTTCTGGTCCTTGGGCAATTGAGTCCATTTCTTGTCCACAAGAGGGACTCTGGTGTGTGCCCAAAACACCAATGTAACTATGCATCCCAATAGCAGCTTTGCCATGTGGTCTACCACTTTTATTGTACTCAACCATATGCTTAATATTCTGGATTTTCCTCTTCACAACACGGCTCATTGTGATACCGCGAGTCGATTTTGTCACTTCATCAAATGTCGCAGAGCTTGGGTCTTTCTCGGAGGATGAAGTAAATCTCATCTTCTTTGCGGGATTGCTTGGAACAGATTTGGATTCAGCCATTTGTGCCTTTGAAACTGCAATGTCCCTTGACCGTTTGCAGCTTGAGCCTCCTTACTTTAAGATTTCAAAACCATGTTCATAGAGAATACAAACTACAAGAAAAACAATGACGGTTAGGTAAAATACATACATAAAATGAAAGTTCATATGACGGCAAACAAGTAGAACCGTCGTGCTAATCTATAGAAACGTGGATGTGCTAATACGATGTGGTCATGAACTTAAGACAACGGTAATTAAATACAACCGTCTTCGTATTATAAGTTCATAAATAAAAAAACCGCCCAGTTTTCTCTCTCCCACATTCGTTTCAAATCAGACGACGCTTTTTCCTTTCAAACGGCGTATTTATAACACACCACGTCGGTTATTTTGAACAATCGTGCTATTGAAATAGCATGAATTTAATTACCGTCTTGGTGTATCAACAAAAACGTCAAATTCGAAAAAAAACCCGTCGTCCTCACATGACCTGTGAACGGGAACAGTTGAAAGATTTGGATTTTTCATACCCTAGTCTTGTTTCAAACATCAGTGCGACTTCTTTAAAAAAAAAAAAAAAAAAAAAAAAAAAACAAAAACTTCAAAAATTAAAGGGAAAGTGAAGAAAAAAAAAAAACGGAGTGAGAAAATACCTTTGGCTTGCAAAGAAATTTTTCTTCGGAATAAAATTTTGGAGACGAAGACGAGGAAGAACGTAAAAGAGAGGGAAACTGAGAATCAGAAACGCAGTTTTTCGGAAATGAGAGGGAAACTGAGAGAAAACTAAAAATTTTAGAGAGAACGTAAAAATTTAGGTCAGGTGACCAAAAAGTTTATATAGTGTCCCAAAGATAACTACAACGACGGTAATCATAAAAACTGCCCTAGTATTTACTTACCACGACATTAAAATAACATCAACCAATGTGGTTAGTAAAAAAGCCTTTTGACTTTTTGTATTCCGAAAATGACGTGGTTAGTTGGGCGCTACACGTCAAAAGTTTACTTTTAAAGAAGTATTATAATAAGTTACCACATCGCTTTTTTATAGGTAACCGACGTTGTTTGTCTAAACCTCGTTGCCTTTAGTTTAATAACTGACGTTGGTTGGTATTTAATATGTCTTTCGTGTTTCAAGAACTAACGTAGATTACTCTGTTAAACGTCGTTAGGTGTAATATAACCGACGTGTATATGAAATTTTTTTTTATAAATTGAGGTTTTTTTCATGAGTTCTTTCATTTTTAGTTTTCAATTAGGGTTCCAACTTCTTCTGTCTCACCTCTTAGGAGGCAATTGTTTGGATGTTGATGTGTGTGTGCGTTTGTGTATCTAGAGGACACAAACACACACACATCATTAACTTCCAAAAAATTGTCTCTCTAAATGCTTCTACCATCGTTAAAATTTAGAGGCAATTATTTGGATGTTGATGTGTGTGTGCGTTTGTGTATCTGGAGGACACAAACACGCACACATCATCAACTTCCAAAAAATTGTCTATCTGAATGCAAATCTGTGGTTGACTTCGTCAAATCTTAGAGGCAAATTTTTGGATGTTGATGTGTGTGTGCGTTTGTATATCTGAAAGACACAAACACACACACATCCTCAACTTCTAAAATATTGTCTTCTGTGGTCTGATTATGATGAGAAACAAAGTTCCATCTGGTAAGATTTCGTAACTCTTGGGATCTCAGAAAAATATGATTCTGTCGGTGGTTTTCTGTATAAACCGTCTTGTTTATTCTCAATTCTTGTCATTAATATGATCTACCGACGTAGGAAACCAAAATAATATAAATAAATTGAAAAAAAATAGTATTAAGACGACGGTTTAGATATAACGTGAGACGTATAAAGTCAATAAATACGACGGTAATTTTAACTTCACGACGTATCTCTTGGGATCTCAGAAAAATCTGATTCTATCGGTGGTTTTCTATATAAATAGTCGTGGTTATTCTCAATTCTTGTCATTAAGTTGGTCTACCGTCATAGGATATCAAAAAAATAGTATAAAAAAAATTTATTAAGACGACGGTTTATATGTCAGGGTTGACGTATAAAGTGAATAAATACAACAGTGAATTTAACTTCACGACGTGGTAAATTTTATTATACGGCGTTAATTGAACAAACCAACGTGGTTAGAGTTAAAGATACTGTCGTAGCATGCTACAAGAAATAAGTCGATAAATTTATCTTTACCGTTGTTGTACATTTATTTAATACGGCGGTTTTTTGTAATTTACCGCCGTGAATTCTTTTGAAATTATACGACGCCTGATACGAAAACTTGGTCGTGTTTATTATGGAGTAAAAACGGAGGCTATTTATTTACACCGTCGTCTTTACTTTCTACGTTGGTGGATTCATACATTTTGCCGTTGTTTTTTGGCTCAGAGTTTACTCTGACAAAAACCTTTTTCAATAAGACGTCAGTTTTTAAATTAGGTGTGTCATTTTTTCGAAACACTCTTTGGAATCTTCATCTTTTAGTTGTTTAAGTTAATCATACACGGCGGTTTTATAAAACCGTCGTCTTTTCAAACACAACGACGGTTTTCTGTTGAATAGTCGTTTTTTTCTAGTCGTTTTTTTCACTTTTTGTAGTAGTGCCTTCAAGTGTTGATAGGTTTAGCTTTGGCTGTTTATTGTAAAAATTTGTCACTAATAATTTCAGCTTAACTCTATTTGTGTATCTTCCAATCCAATATGTGCCACATAAAATGTATTTAACTATCATTACCAATAGACTATGGATCCTTGTGGTTTGTGTGGGCAAGTAAGGCATGGGGTTTCCTTAATCATTTCATATACAATATCTGCAGCTTCTCTCATGATGCCAACTATGTTAGAGAAAAAAGTCTCTTTTGTTCTCTCAAAGATTTGAGGTATAGCTCCCTGAAAATGAGAATCATTTAACAATAAATATTTCCCATGGGATGGATTAGGACACATAAAAATAAAAAATTGAAGCTACGCAAGTAAATTTACGACTGTATGTATGTACATACGTATGTACATATGCATGTATATAGGCGCAATAACATAGATGAAGTGCTCCAAACAACATTGATATTTGTCTATTGAAGTTTTAGTTCTGAAAACAAAAAAAATTAAGTACTTGAAGAAATAAATACCTGAATGAAGGTTGCTGGGTCAGTAGTGATGTCCAGATAGTTCTTAATGCTGTCCACAATCTAGGACAAATTAAGTTCACAAAATATGACAAATACTTGACATAGATATAACTATATCTTTATCTTCATATTTATGAAGAAAAAAAAGAAAAAAGAAAAAGAGAAATATGAAGTTATGAACAAAGAAAAAAGAAAAAGAGAACTATGAAATTATGAACAAAGAAAAAAGTGGAGATATAAACATATAGATATGTAAGAAGGGAAACATAGAAACACAACAAAACATAGGAAAAAATGACAAAAGAAAAAAATACGAAATAAAGTAGGCCCATTTCGGCCTGTCCATTGGCTTAGTCCGGTTCGGCTTGATGGACTTTTTCAGGCCTAGCCCATGAGCTAAACTTGGGTTTTGAATTTTTTAAATAAGCCCAGCCCGACTCAGTCCATTATTTTCAGTCTCATCTTTAAAGCATGACCCGACCTAAGTCCATTGAATTTGGGCCGGGCTAGTTCGGCTCGGCCCAAGGCCTACATATATATATATATATATATATATATATATAAGGCTAAAAGTCACTTTTGATCCCTGTTCTTTGGCACTTCAACCACTTTTGACCCTGTAGTTTCAATTCCGTCCATTTTGACCATGTAGTTTCATATTTGTAGCAATTCAAGGACAAGTTAGTATTCCTATTAATTTCTTTGACAATGCAAGGGACAATTTTGTCAACTCAAAATCCTTGAGCATAAAAACTCGTCTAAAACTCCCCTAATTTCATATTAGGGCTTGAAATTGGTTATTTGGGTTTAGGGTTCTTCGAAAATTGGGATTAGTGGTTGAATTTCAAGCCCTAATATGAAATGGGGAGAATTTCAAACAAGCTTTTACGCCTAAGGGTTTTGGGTTGACGAAATTGCCCCTTGCATAGTCAAAGAAATTGACATGAATACTAACTTGTCCTTGAATTGCTACAAATATGAAACTACAAGGTCAAAATTGACAGAATTGAAACTACATGGTCAAATGTGATTGAAGTGCCCAACTACAGGGACCAAAAGTGACTATAAAGAACAAAGAAATTAATAATAAGAGAGACACCATTTTATATATAAGCTAGTCAAGCAAAATATTAATCACAAAGAAACAATTTAAGTATACCCCAGTTTTATCAAAGATGCCCTTGGGATCATTTTTCACAATCCAGCCAAGTTTCCAGCCAGGAACAATCCATGTCTTCGATGTGGAGCCAAGCGTAATGACCGGTACGGTGGAACTAAACTTTCCCATAGGCATAAAAGGGTTGCTACCAAAAGTTAGATGCCCATAAACTTCATCAGAAATCACAAAGATGCCCAATTTCTTCGCTGTTTTTGCAATTTGTTTTTAGCAAACACAAACATAAAATTAGTAAGATTTCACTAAAGTATACTTCATAGAAAATAATATGCCAAATCTCAGCCCTAACACTCATACCAACAAGTGAAAATGATAGATAACATTTTCAAGTAGTTTAAATATAGATAATTCAGTAATGTTTTCTTATCATATTGTAAATCTGAATCACATGTTACAGCAAAAATCAAACTGATCAATGGTCACAAGACTCAAAATCATCATGTATGGCAAGAGAACATTTTACATAGATAGTGTGTATGGAATGAAACTATATATATGCACACCTTTTCCAAATGCTGGTAGGTGAAAACATTTCCACAAGGATTGCTAGGATTAATGATAACTATAGCAGCAGTGTTGTGATCTGCAAGAGCTTTGACAGCATCAAGATTCACCTCCCAACCCTTTTCAGGAAGAAGATCGAAATGGCGTACTTCAAGGTGGTTGAAAGACGCCCGAGCTTCATACTGAGGGTAACCAGACCTTGGAAGCAGAATGTTGGAACTAGGTCGTGCAAGGACAGAAACCATGATTTCAATTACTTGTGTGCATCCACCAGTGAGATATACATCCTCCGCCAATAGCTTGTGCAAGAGGTCACGAGAGAGATATTCTGCAATAGCCCTTTGGAAATCACAAATATAAGTGTATGATCAATTTCATTAGATTTAATTAACTATAAATTAAAGAGATCATCATTTACATATACTTCAAATTAGATAAATGGTTGGTTTCATACTAGCTATAGTTTTTCTCTTCAAAAAAATAATAAAGACGACGCACACATATATACAATTAATCTCTCATCCGGATGTCCGCATTTTATTATTGTGCGGATGCCATATATATATTATAAATAGGTAGAGGTAGTAAAAAAATATATGTATACACGTTAATAGAATCCAAATGTCCACATATATATATATGACATTCATGACTTAGCAATAATATGTCAATAACGTGTCAATAGATGATTGATTTGTAGAAGATGATGTATCAAATATATGTATAGACTAGTTATTGAGGTACATGTTATTGAGATATGAGTTTGGGAGGTGAATGTGCGAGAATTTCTTTTCTTTCCGGTTGACTAATATAATATATATATATATATATATATATATATGATATAGCAATATATGTCTCCAATACTTGTTTGAAGTTTCATTATTTACTATTTATCAATTTCACTTTGATCATCTTTATAGAGAATCAGTGAATCAATGTAAACTATTTGTTATTAATTTTTGAAAGACAAACATTAGTCTTATAAATAACTTGTAGGTTAATGGTCTTACGTTCGAACTCCCATAACATTGTGATAGTGTCTGTGTAAAAAACCTCCTCCCATATAACTTGTATTAAAAAAAGAAAAAATTAATAAAAATAGTCACGTTTGCAAGACTTGAAGACTACCATAGACAACCAAGTTGAACACGGGTCTCTTCTCCTCCGTAATCTTTTTTGTAACAAAACAAATGAAATCATTTGGCTTTTGGTGGTGGTGCTTTTGCCGTAAAAAATCACATATTCGTTGACTGGCAGACAGTATATGTGGGGTCACCACTAACGAGTGGTTAAGTGACAGTCCTTTTCACTGCAAATTGTCCATTTCGAATTTAGTGTAAAAGTTCGAATTTTTTTCCGATCAAAATAACATTAGAAATGAAACGTTCATTCATAATTCACATTAAAAAAAAACCATTACAAGCTATAATTGTCTACGACAAAGTTTCATATTTTGAAAACGTAACATTATAACTTTATTTTTAATACAAGCAAAAACATTATTCTCAACGTAAACAAGCAAATTATTACTCAACTATTAATCTCTCATTTCGTTTCGAAGTAATAACTCACATCAATTAAAGAAAACACCAAATTTATACCAATTAACTACAAAAAATTCATAAATGAAACATCTAATAAATCAAAACAAAATCATGAAATCATAATTTCAATTCTATTAATTTAGACTTAGAGTTAGAATTTACTTGAATTATAAGGTGATGGACGCGGCGGCAACAATGGAGGAGATGGGGGTTAAAGGTTTTTTTTTCGGGGGGGGATAAGGGGAGATTGGGGATTTAGGGTTTAGGGTTTAGGACAAAATAATTGGGATTTTGGGAGTTGCTGGGATGGGTAGAGGGGTTTTAGAATTAGCTGGGGCTGTTTTAATTTGTTTTTAAAAGATCTGGACCAAAATGACGTCGTTTTGGCTAGGTCATTTAAAAAAAAATTCTCTGGGCCAAAACGACGTCATTTTGCCAGCGTTTTAAAAAAAAGAAAAAAAGAAGAAGAAGCCAGCGCTTCTTCTTCTTCCTCGTGCAGCAGCCATTTCGATCAGGCCAAACAAGTGGAGGGGATCCAAGGGGTCGCATGGTCAGCTTAAAGGGACCTTCAAGCTTATTTCCATAGAGTCCATAGGGTTGTTTGACCTCATTGACCCCATTGTGGGTCCATCCCTGATCGCGAGAGCTCCGAGGACGGAGATTGCCGCCGTGTTCAGCTCTTCGTTCCCTCCAAATTGCCATTTCTGCTGCGAACCATTTTCCATGGTGGAAGCTACAATGGTTTTGGTGGGTGGTGTTGGGTTTATAGGAAGGCAGTGGAGGGAAGAGAGTGACCAAGCAAGGCTTGTATTTAGAGCAACTCCAGCGAGGGAGCCTAGCCCGAGTCTGGGGGGAAAAAAAAATGGCGCTCCAGCCGACAGCCCAGGCCCGAGGGAGGTGTGGGACCCACCAACCCGGGCTGGCCCAAAGGCAACTTCCGCCCAAGGTCCAAAACGAGGGGGGTGACGTCAGCTCGATGTCAAGCTAACGTCGACATGCGGTAATCAAATTTTTTTACCGTTGACGCGTGCATTGCACGCGCCAACGGTAAAAAAAATTTGAACTAGCGTGCGCTGACGTCAGCGCGACGCAGGTCCAACGGCTGGAAGCCACGTGGCACGCCCCCAGTGCTCCGATTTGCTTCCACAGCCTTCATCCAACGGCTGGCATTTTTCCAGCAATAAAATTATGAAAAAAAATCGAAATTTTTTTATAAAAAAATACTAAAAAATACTTTAAATTTCTGATTTTTTTTTCCTATAAATACCTATAAATACCCTTCACTTTCAACACCAATTCTCATACATTTTATTCTACTTCTACTATTACTCAACATTTTATTCACTCTTCACTCAACATTTTCATCTCTTTCACCTTATATTTTTATTTCTTATTTTTATGGCTTCTTCTATTTTAGTAGTAGTAATTCTTAATGACTTGTATTGGATTTCTTTATTTAATAAACAAAGCATTCAATAAAAGACCATTTTATTCAACATATTCCATACATCAAACAAAACATAATTAAAATTTTAAAAAAAAACTACAAACAAGGCACAATAATAAATAAATAAACAATACAACCAAACCATAAGCAATAAAAAACAACACAACCAAACCATAAGTAAATAAAACATAACCAAAGCATCTATGCTCCATCATTCATCTTCATTCCCTCTCACCGCCCATAGATGCTCAATTAAGTCAAGTTGACGCCTTTCATGAATATACGAAGATTGCATCTCTGTATATCGATCTATCATCCAGGTCATGGAATGATCGTCCCTCACCAACGGTTCCAGCTCAAACGATTCTCCATTTGGCCCCATGGGCCTTTCATAAATCCGGGTCAAGGCCTTGTTCATTGGATCCGGTTCGTAGACCTCTCCAGCATCATAATCGTACTCATCCTCTACAATCATATTATGGAGGATGATGCAAGTCATCATAATGCTTTGAAGGATCTCCTCATCAAACATATGAGCCGCACCTCGAATAATCAACCACTGAGCTTAAAGGATGCCAAAACACCTTTCGACATCTTTCCTGTATCCTTCTTGATAGGTAGCAAATAATTTTTGCTTCTGGGATCGGGGATTCGGAATGGATTTGACAAATGTGGTTCATCTTGGGTAGATACCGTCAGCTAGATAATACCCCGTCTGGTAGATTGTATTGTTGACTTGATAGGTAATATTGGGGCCTTGGCCTCTCAAAACATCGTTGAAGACCGGAGATTGACCCAGGACGTTGAGGTCATTTTGGGCTCCGGCAACTCCGAAGAAGGCATGCCAAACCCATGTGTCGAAGCCAACAACGGCTTCCAGGATGACACTTTTTTGGCCTTTTCTATTTCCATAATCACATTGCAAGGCAGTTGGGCAATTCTTCCATTGCCAATGCATGCAGTCGATGCTACCAATCATTCCTGGAAATCCTCGAGCTTCGGCTTTTTGTAGAAGCCATTGGAGGTCCTTGGGAGTAGGTCTACGCAGATAGTCCCTAGTGTACAGATTTTCAATTGCATCACAAAATCTTACCAGAGCCTCCAACATAGTGGACTTCCCCATTCGGGCAACCTCATCCCCCTGATCAGCAGATGCTCCATACGCCAACATTCGTATAACATATGTAAGCTTTTGCTCCAGAAGAAGCCCCAAAACCCCAGCAGCATCACACTTTTGAACAAAGTATGCATCATAATTGCAAATATCATGCATGACTTTATTGAACAAATGGGGTTGTATTCTAAATCGCCTTCGAAAATCAACATCAGAGTACAAAGCAGTTGGGATAAAATAATTTTCCAAAAGATTCTTACCCTGAGAATGCCTATGTTTGTCCACATTCCAGCGACGGCCGACTTGTGAACCACGGCGGCAACATTGGTTCTCTTCCTCTTCCATTGCCACTGCTATGAGAACTTGTTCATCGACTTGTCTCTGCAACTCATTGATTTCATTGGCTCTATGGTTTCTCTCCTTTCTTTCTCGCTCATGCCTCTCTAAGCATCTCCTATATTCTTCCATTGAGAATGAATGGAGTATGAATTCTAAACTCTAAGAAATGAAAATATAGAAAGATGTGGTGTGAGAGGTATGAGATGAGCCTCTGGTTTTATAGAAAAATTTGGCAAGATAGAGATGTCACGTGGCTTGATTTGATTGGATGAAAATCTTATCTGAAATTTGAAATTCATCCGAAATTTGAACCCAAAAATCTTATTCGAAAATTTTATCCGATTATGAATAGTCTTGACACGTAGGAACCCGGAAATCTTCTCCGAAAATATTATCCAAATTAATTATTGAGGTAAAAAAATTTGTGAATAAAACAAAAAAATGAATAGTAACTGCCCTATGCAAGGGCAACCACTATTCACATGAATAGTGGCTGCCCTAGCTCCCCCCTTGCCATGGCTAAAGGCAAATTGGTGGAGTTGCTCTTATAGAAAATTTGGATTTGGCACAAAGGGCTTGGTAATTTTTTATTTATTTATGAAATGTGGGCTCCACAATTATTTACTATACGAAATTACGTACACGCTAAACTTTTTTTTTTTATTTTACTGCTACAAATAGTCACAAGGGATTCTTGATATCTATACGAATTTAACACTTATAATTTAACTCTAAGGCATTAATTCTAAAATTTACAAAGTAAATTCAAAACTAGTTTTTGTCATGTAGTAAGAGAATATTGTACTAGCTACTAGGTTACAATTATGTGATTTGTCATGTAGCCACATTTGTCTACGTTAAACACATAAAAGTACTAGGCAACCTGCGACAACAGGTTGCCCCAAAACATGTTTCTTTTTCAAACCAAAATGTGTTTTCATTAATTGAATATTTTTTTTCTTTATAGGAGGATTCTGCACAACATAATATTACTTTGGTAAAAGAACATAATACTTATTTCCCTTTTCTTCACTTACCTAAAGTTTTGATCCCTGAGTTAACACGTAATTAAGTTGGAGACATTATTAGTATTTGACCCATTAGTAATGACCTATGGTATATCCCTTTTAAATTTTGACACGGTATATCGTAACAGATTGATTGATTGGGCTTGAATTATTATGTCTTTACTTGCCTTACGTTGCCAAAATTATTAGGCCTTTACTGAGTACATCGTATTCATATAATTTACTGAGCCCGAGTTACCTTAAGATCGATGAGAAATTAAGCAAATGAGAAATTTTAGGATATTTTTCAAGATTTTAGGATCGTTGGGGGGTGGGGGGTTGGTGGGGGTGTATTCCAAGTAAAAATCTTGTGTACGTTCTTTTCCTTCTTTTTTGGAAACTGAATAATTCGCAGAAGCCAAGATAAACAGCCTACACTAAACCAAGAAAACCAAAAGCAACCAAAAAAACACCGACCCATAATTACAGATGAAATAGAGTTAGGACAGAAACTAGACACATTGCATATGGAAACAGGAATCAGTGGTCCAGAAACTCTTCCCCAAAACAAAGCCTCGGCAGAACTTCTTTCCGCGAAACACTCTCTTTGACATATTCGAGATCCGGAAGCTTTGGAGATTCCTCCTTGGTGGATTGGAGGTCTCCGAGTTGGCGGATATAGGGAAATTTGACCACCCCAAAACATTTTGTATCACCTCTCACTCTATTCCCAAGCTCCAATATGCTTGACATTGTTTGTTGTTCAAACTGTAGATTTAGTGAAAGTTGCTGATGGAGTTTCTCTTGCAGATACATAAGGTCTCAAATAAAACTCTTGAGAATGTTTATTTGGATTTTGGTTGTAACATATTTAATTTGGTTGTGATTTTTATTGTAACTTTGGATTTTTGTTGTATTTAATTTGTTTGTGATTTTGGAATATTTAGAATATTTTTATTTTTATCAAAAAAATTTAAATTTTTAAAAATTTATTTGTTAAACTAGTTATACGGGTCGTGTCGTGGCAACTCGTTTATAAAATAAATGTGTTCGGGTTGAGCATTTTTGACTTGTTTCAAATACTGACATGACACGACCCTTTACCGGGCCTACTTTCAATGGGGAATAATATGAATTTGGTCATATTTTGAAAGGGAATTAGAGCAATTAACCCCACATTCTTTTAGGTAATCACACACATACATAAAAATTAAGGGTATGTACAAGAAAGTCATGTGAAGACAAGACCAACAGTATTAGCTTGTTCTTATTGTTTGCATTTATTTTTTACGTTGAATGTTTATTTGGGGATCCAATGAAGTTGCCGATTAGCATCATTCACTTAATTTGACTGTGACGAAGACAAAAGAAGAGATCCTATTGCTTCTTGGCATGTCTTTGGTAGAAGGCTTTTATCCTCTGAAGGCCATCTTCAAGTACTGGAAGCTCAACAGCAAAAGTAATGCGGAGCCAATTTTTCAGTCCAACAGTGACCCCTGAAAAATATGAATCAATGAAAATCTAACTAAGCAAACCATTTCAAGTTAACGTCCAATATATTTGGCCGTGTTGCTAAATTACAGTCTAGCAAGTTATGTTCTCGGAGTGCAATATTATTGAGTAAGAGAAAGTTCACAAGTTGTTCAATTATTTTTACCTGGCAGAACAATCACTGACTCCTCTTTGGCCAACTTCAGACAAAACTGTATATCATCATCAATGCCTTCAAGTGTCGACAGGTTTAGCTTTACCTGTTTGTAGTAAAAATTTGTCACTAATAATTTCAGCTTAACTCTATTTGTGTATCTTCCAATCCAATGAGTCCCACATAAAATGTATTTAACTATCATTACCAATACGACCATGGATCCTTGTGGTTTGTGTGGGCAAGTAAGGCATGGGATTTCCTTAATCATTTCATATACAATATCTGCAGCTTCTTTCATGATGCCAATTATGTTGGAGAAAAAATTCTCTTTTGTTCTCTCAAAGATTTGAGGTATAGCTCCCTGAAAATGAGAATCATTTAACAATTAATATTTCCCATGGGAATGGATTAGGACACATAAAAATAAAAAATTGAAGCTACGCACGTAAATTTACGATTCTATGTATGTACCTACGTATGTACATATGCATGTATATAGGCGCAATAACATAGATGAAGTGCTCCAAACAACATTGATATTTGTCTATTGAAGTTTTAGTTCCAAAACAAACAAAAAATACCTGAATGAACGTTGCTGGGTCAGTAGTGATGTCCAGATAGTTCTTAATGCTGTCCACAATCTGCGACAAATTAAGTTTACAAAATATGACAAATACTTCACATATATATAACTATATATATATATATATCTTCATATTTATGAAGAAAAAAGAAAAAGAAACAGAGAACTATGAAGTTATGAACAAAGAAAAAAGTGGAGACATAAACATATAGATATATAAAAAGGGAAAAATAGAAACACAACAAAACATAGACAAAAATAATAATAATAATAATTTGACCAAAGAAAATATACAACATAAAGTAGGCCAATTTCGGCCCGTCCATTGGGCTTAGTCCGGCTCGGCTTGATGAACTTTTTCAAGCCTAGCCCATGACCTAAACTTGGGTTTTGAATTTTTTAAATAAGCCCAACCAAGCTCAGTCCATTATTTTATGTCTCGTCTTTAAAGCCCAGCTTGACCCGACGTAAGCCCGTTGAATTTGGGCCGGGCTAGTTCGGCTCGGCCCAAGGCCTACATAGATATATATAAAGAACAAAGAAATAAATAATAAGAGAGACCATTTATATATAAGCTAGTTAAGCAAAATATTAATCACAAAGAACAACAATTTAAGTATACCCCAGTTTTATCAAAGATGCCCTTGGGATCATTTTTCACAATCCAGCCAAGTTTCCAACCAGGAACAATCCATGTCTTCGATATGGATCCAAGCGTAATGACCGGTACGGTGGAACTAAACTTTCCCATAGGTACAAAAGGGTTGCTGCCAAAAGTTAGATGCCCATAAACTTCATCAGAAATCACAAAGATGCCCAATTTCTTCGCTGTTTCTGCAATCTGTTTTTAGCAAACACAAACATAAAATTAGTAAGATTTCACTGAAGTATACTTCATAGAAAATAATATGCCAAATCTTAGCCCTCACACTCATACCAACAAGTGAAAATGATAGATAACATTTTCAAGTAGTTTAAATATAGATAATTCATTAATGTTTTCTTGTTAGACTGTAAATCTGAATTATGCGTGACGGCAAAAATCAAATTGATCAATGATCACAAGACTCAAAATCATCATGTATGGCAACAGAACATTTTACATAGATAATGTGTATGGGATGAAACTTTATATGCATACCTTTTCCAAATGCTGGTAGGTGAAAACATTTCCACAAGGATTGCTAGGATTAATGATAACTATAGCAGCAGTGTTGTGATCTACAAGAGCTTCGACAGCATCAAGATCCACCTCCCAACCCTTTTCGGGAAGAAGATCGAAATGGCGTACTTCAAGGTGGTCGAAAGACGCCCGAGCTTCATACTGAGGGTAACCAGGCCTTGGAAGCAGAATGTTGGAACCAGGTCGTGCAAGGACAGATACCATGATTTCAATTGCTTGTGTGCATCCACCAGTGAGATATACATCCTCCGCTAGTAACTTGTGCGAGAGGTCACGAGAGAGATATTCTGCAATAGCCCTTTTGGAAATCACAAATATAAGTGCATGATCAATTTCATTAGATTTAACCTTTAATTAACTATAAATTAAAGAGATCATCATTTACATATACTTCAAATTAGATAAATGGTTGGTTTCATACTAGTTATTATCGTGTGGATGCCAATGTAAACAAGGAAGGGTAGTAGATAGTACATAGCGTCTGCAAGATAATAACGTCCAGATATATGCATATATATATATATATATATATTTATATGATATAGCAATATATGTCTCCAATGCTTGTTTGAATCTTGCATTACTTACTATTTGTCAGTTTCACTTTGATCATCTCTATAGAGAATCAGTGAATCAATGTAAACTATTTGTTATTAATTTTTGGAAGACGAACATTAGTCTCATAAATGACTTGTAGGCTAGTAGTCTGACGTTTGAGCTTCCATAACATCGTGATAGTGTCAATCCCGAATAGGGGAATCGGGATGGGAGTTTTTGAGAACACGTTCAAACCATACCGGACACAAACGGGATCGGTATGATTCGGTATCAATGTTGATACCGTAAAAAATTTGCAACAAATTATGTATCAAGTGAAGACTGATAGTGAATGGACATAGTTGAAAGAGATTATCATATTCAAGAGTTAAAAAATAAGTCATAATTCAAGGCTTTGCTTGATCACTACTGATTTCCAATATCTTTGAAAATAAAATAAATTACTTTCCGCCTTAATGATTAACGTGGGAGGGGTGGAAAATTCTGTTATATATTATGCCTTGTTAAATTAGGACATATGAAGAACAAGGCACATCCTTCTCAACCTGCTAAGCTTGATTTAGTTGCTCATGCAGAAATGGAAAAAGAAATGGAGATTTCTAGTGGAAAGGGAATTAATATGGCATGTGCCGTGATTTGGAAAAAGAAAAACAATTGAAATATGGAATTCAAGAAACTAGAAGGGATAAAATAGCAATGGTGAGTGCGTGAGTCACTCAGAAATGTCCTTTAACAACAAGAGATATCTAACTCTATTTAGAAACCATGGTGGGGCTCTTTTTTTACCTACATTTTTTATTTATCAGATGCTATCATGAGTGCTAAATTTCACAAAGAAAACTCTAATGCAAACATTAAAACTAAAGCTGGACATATTGTGAATTGTATTTTGGATCCATTTAAGGTTCATCTTTTCGTGAGGATTAATAAAATTAAAATAAATTAAATTAGGGGTGGAACTACAATTAAATTATGATTAATAAAACTAATTTACTATTCGGTACGGTATGACACTAACTGGGATCACGAATGTGGAACTGATGTAGTGCCAAACAGTAATGGGATGACCCAGTATCATTCCGTTTACACGTCAATACCAAACGGAACGACACGAGATTGGCACGGTTTGGCATGATTTTGGGATGGTTTCGGTATTCCGGTTTTGATGCCCATCCCTACCATAGACAACCAAGTAGAACACGGGTCTCTTCTCCTCCTTCGACTTTTTTTATAACAAAACAAATCAAATCCAATTTGGCTTTTGGTGGTGGGTGTTTTTGCCATAAACATATTCGCTGACTGGCAGGCATGTGTATGTGGGGTCACCACTCACGAGTATAAATATTATAAATATACAATACAATATTTATAAATTAAAAAAATATAAAAACCACTATACTCTGACTTCTGACCAACAGAAAATATAGAACAATATTAGCATATTGTTCAGTTTTCTTAAATAATGGAATATTAACTTTAAAACAGAGAAATAAGACGACGTTGTACTTGGAAATTTACCAAATTAAAAAAAACAAATAATACATATTTAGTGGGAACTCAACCCACTATCCACAAAATAAAATTTTAAAAATTAAGTGACAGTCCTTTTCACAGCAAGTTGTCCATTTCATTGTAAGTCTGGCCCTCCATAGACGGAGAAGATGTAACCGTACGTGAAATTTAAAAGGGATTGGAGTAAAATAATTATAAGAAATTAAGCAGCAAATTAATGAAATGAATCTCCAAGCTTTAGATTAAACCAGAACATACGCGCATACCTTCTTGCCTCAAGGACACCGCCCGTCGGACAATAAGAGTTGAACTTGAAGGACTGGAGGGCATCTGTGACGGCGTCAACAGCCGACTGAGTAGTCCAGAATGACCGGAACTCAGTAGGGTCCCCACGGCCCAGCATAATGGTGGGCCGCTGCGGATGATGATCACCGTCATCTGGGTTGTTAACATTATTCATTAGCATCGCGAGAGCTCCGCGGACAGAGATTGCCGCCGTGTTCAGCTCTTCGTTCCCTCCAAACTGCCATTTCCGCTGCGAACCATTTTCCATGGTGGAAGCTGCAATGGTTTTGGTGGGTGGTGTTGGGTTTATAGGAGGGCTTCAAGTGGAGGGTAGAGAGTGACCAAGCAGGGCTTATATTTATAGAAAATTTGGATTAGGCACAAACGGCTTGGTAATTTTTTTATTTTATGAAATTGTGGGCTCCACAATTATTTACTATACGAAATTATCTACACGCTAAACTTTTTGTTTTACTAATTTTAGGTTTTTTAGGTTTTAGACATAAAAAAAATTTCACTTTTGGAAAAAGCCAAAACTTTTTCAAAAAAGACAAAAAAACAGATCAACTTTCACATCAAAGACATGCAAATGTATTGGATTCCTTAGGAAATCTAAAAATAAATAAGGGCATTTTGATTCATTTTTGCTTCTTTTAAAATTTTTCTCTCTCCTTTTGCTTTTTCCAAAATGTCCCTTTTATTTTACTGCTACAAATAGTCACAAGGAATTCTTGATATTTTAACTTTAAGGCATTAATTCCAAAATTTACAAAGTAAATTCAAAACTAGTTTTTGTCATGTAGTAAGAGAATATTGTACTAGCTACTAGGTTACAATTATGTAATTTGTCATGTAGCCACAATTGTCTCTACGTTAAACACATAAAAATACTAGCCAACCCGGCGAAAACGTGAACAACAGGTTGCCCCAAAACATGTTTCTTTTTCCAACCAAAATGTGTTTTCATTAATTGAATATTTTTGTGCCAAATATATTTTTTTTCTTTATACGATTCTGCAAAATATAATATTACTTTGGTAAAAGAACATAATACTTTTTCCCTTTTCTTCATTTACTTAAAGTTTTGATCCCTGAGTTAACACGTGAATAAGTTGTGTTGAGGTCCAAAAAATCCAAGGCTGGCTTGAACATATTTCAAGTCCAGCACAACGCTTAAATGGAGAAAAAGCCCAACTAGGATATGCAAGAATTTGTCCTACGCACTTGCACAAGTTGTGGGCCACATGCCACGCCAAGCGCACTGCAACCTGCCACCCAGAAAGGTCAAAACGAGCCTGTAAAACGCATTGGCTCTGTGAACCCATGCTTACTGACTTGTTAAGTGCCACCTGGCCCAGCCATAGCCTCTTACAACGCGGTAGAACTCGAGCATAAGCACACCAAATAAGCACGCAATGCCAAGTGAAAGAATGTTATTTTGACACCAACCCACGCTACAAGGTTAAGTTGGTCCAAGCCATGCAAATGCCTGGGGCTTGCTGAGCAGGTTGTGGTACGGATGGTTACGGGTATTCACGAGGTCCATTGAGGGTTTAAGGGATGGAAGTTTTGGGCTACTTGGGAGCATCAAAACTCAAGCCCATTTCTTGAGCTCAAACACATGGGTAATCAAGAAAGAGAGAAAATTGGCCCAATGCCTTAGGAGAATATCCAGTGGTCTGCAACACTTAGGAAAGTCCTACATCAGCTAAGACATCTAGCACCTTGTCAAAAAATACAACAAATAGGCTTCTTCCAGTAGCTTGACGAAACCAAGCCAAACTTGCAAGTCGCCGAAGATAAAATTCCAATGACCTAATGCCTTAGGAAAACCCCAACCCAGCACCTTATAAAATATCTAGTACCGTATTTAGCATTGTCAAAAGCCTCAAAACCAAGTCAATTGGTAAGCCACTGCAAAAACCAAAGGAAATTCACATGTGTAGGAGGAATACCCATAAGATTAACACCCCTACCCATTTTTATTTCTTCTGCAAGATCAAATAGGAAAACCAAGAAGGAAAGTGGGTGGCGCCTCACCCACATGAAGAAGTCCAACTGCGTGAAGATCTTGGAACTCCAAAAAGCTTCGTGCCTATGAGCTCAAGCTGGGAAGTTTCACCAAATAAGATTGAATGGAAGAAATTGAAGGAAAAAGGGGAGGGAGGCTTAATAAAATTGAGGGTTCCAATGCCTATAAAAGGAGGCACCTTCAACCTAGCAAACACCATCCAGAAGTGCGACCAAGCTTTTGTCGAGCAACTGGAAATTTACTCAAGACACCACATTTTCTATTTCCATCTCTCCTTATCTTCCTTAGTCAAAATCCCCCCAAACTTCTCTCCCTTGGCTCTAAACCTTTGCTTCCATAAGAAATCCAAGCAATCTTTCTCTCTACTGCTAAACTCGTGAAGACTTAGCTTCCATGCCACAAGCTTCTCAAGCCAAGCCATATTACTAATTTGTCATAATCGTCGGGTTCATTGGTGAAAGGGATCCACGAGGTTTTCTAAGGCTCCATAACCCTTTCAAAACACTCTTGGGCCTAGTCCTCGAACTCAGGCATAGGGGCAACTTTATCTGTCTTTTCTTTACGGCATCCCAAGTCCATTCGTCAGGCTACTAGAACAAAAAGACCCCTACGTAAATTGGCGACTTCACTGGGGACCAAGTTGCTATCTTCACCAATGCCTCTGAGAAAGAAGACCAAAAGCAATACCATGGCTTCCCAAGACATGCTAGACCATGGTGACTCAGAATCAAGGCAAAATGCCTCCCCAAGAGAGGAAGAACATGCAAGTGAGGGAACTTTCACTCTCACAGACCTTGTTGCAGCTATCCATGTTATGGGGGGAAACCCAGAAGGAGATTGTGGACACAATCAAGGAACTGAAAAGTTCAGTCTTCAAGCCAAACGAAGAAAACGGGAAAACCTCCCAAGAAGAATCTAATGCTGCTGGAAAGGGTTCTGAACAAAAGGGGCCATCTTTTGTTGACAGGACCCGCCCCAAAAAGTCGACGGCAGTGGCCGGAATCGGAGGCCGAAAACCGGCCAAACTCCTATCGCTTATTTGACAACTTAAATGCAGAAATTGATCCTAAATAACACAACCAGTAGCTAGAACACATTGAGAGGATGAGAAAGCATACCAAGTTCAAAGAATTTGGTGGCCGGAATTACCTGAACAAGCTCCGTGAAGTTATGGGTAAAACCAGCTACTTTTTCGAATTTTCTGGCTAGATACGGCGGCGTCTGAGGCATCGAAGGGTCAGGATATGTAGAGGACAACGAGCCGGTTCATTTGGTACCAACCCCGTCACATTTAGTGGTCGGTGGAGGTGGTGGCGACCCAAAAAGGGGTCGGATGAATAGTGACAGGGGGTTGTTTTTTTTTGCAAAGGGAGGGGGAGAGGTCGTGAGGGAAAGAGAAATGAGAGGAAAAATCTGTTTTTACAAACCCATTTCGAATTATTTACGATTTTGCCACTAAACTTGTTTTGGTCGTAACTTTTTCGTTACAACTCCGATTCGAGCCCACTATATGTCTACGGACTCATCTCGGTATGATCTACATAAAAAATACCACTCACTGGCCCAAATTCCTTCTAGATTAAAAATGATTAAATTACCCCTATAACGGGGACAAAATTGGAAATTCAAATTTTATGCAATTGATTAAATTCACAATTCATTTTTTTTTGGGTCTGGATGTTACATTTGTCACCCAGGAAGATGTCATTGCCATGCTGGAAAAAAAACTAAGTCGAAGCCAAGAATATTGAAAGTATGTCCTTCAACCACCGTATTCATTAAGCCTACTCTAGTAGCTATATCCTAAAGGTTATGATGCCTTTTTGATAGAAGGAAAGGAAGCCCGAAAAGGCTCTTGGGGCATGGTCCTCGAACTCAGGCACAGGGGCAACATTATTTGTCTTTTCTTTACGCCAGCCCAAGCCCATTCGTCAGGCTACTGGAACAAAAAGACCCCTACAAGTTGGAGACATTATCAGTATTTGAACTATTAGTAGTGACCAACTGTATATCTCTTTGAAATTTTTACATGGTATATCATAACAGACTGATTGATTGAGCTTGAATTATTTTGTCTTTACTTGCCTTACCTTGCCTAAATTATTAGGCCTTTACTGAGTACATCGTATTCATATATTGTGTTCAATTTACTAAGCCTGAGCTACCTTTAAAAAAAATCAAAGACCGATGAAAAATTAAGCAAATGAGAAATTTTAGGATATTTTTCAAGATTTTAGGATCGTTCGGGGGTATTCCAAGTAAAAATCTTGTGTACTTTCTTTTCCTTCTTTGCTTGATTGATTTTAGGCTAAAATCTAATTGGATTAATTTGGTAATATTTTGAAATAAAGTCTATTCAATAGCCACAATTGGCATGTTGTGGCTAGGGAAACTGTGGCTTTATGCTCTTTTTTTGGTAGTGATTAGTGCATGATGAAACAATTTTTTTAAAAAACAATTTATATATATTTATAGACATACATTATTTTTAAATGGGTTAACTACAGTAAACTCCCCAATCTATAAGGTCATTTACGAGTCCATGCCCGATTTTGGGGACATTTACCAATACATACTCAACGTCACGGAAAACTTACAAATTGCCCTCTCTGTTAACCAAACTGTTAGTCAATCTGTTAAATGCTAACATGTCAAAAGTGGGACCTTTTTTTTATGACGTGGACTAAAAATTAATTAAAAAAATTATTTTAAAAGATCTCTCTATCTCTCTCTCCATAGCCTCTACCACCAAACCCTCCATCCATCCGTCTGATCCTCCTCTACCAAAAAGTACAGAAACAACCTAGCTCGCTCCCCCACCCCCCCGCCCCTTTCACAAAATCTCATTGTCCCCGACCCCATCCTTATTCCCCTACCCCCATATCATCATCCCACTTCCAGAGCCGTGGTTGGGTGGACACAAAACCCATATGAACTTAAACTCTGGACCAGGTTCAAACCCAAACCTTTCAGCCTCACAATATCCATCATCCCTAGACCCTCTGCAAAATTAGAACTAAGCCAAACCCTAGAATCGGAAGAAAATTTGTAGCGGAATTGCTAGAAGTGGGAAAGAAGACTGATCAGAATGAAATCAGGGAGTGAATTGACGGGGTTGGAGCTCTCTTCGGTAGAAAGAGGCTCGAGCCTGAGGTGGCCACTGTGACCTGAGAACTCGACTCGGAACGAGAGCCCATTTGTTGCAACAATCGGATCCATTTTTCGGGCTCCAGGGTTTTGAGTGTTTTTGGGGTTCAAAGCACTCTACTTCTGGTTCTGATTCCGACGGGGGTTTGATTGTTCGAGGGTTTTGGGTGCCGTCATTATCACCACTTCACTCTGCCTTTGGTTAGTATCAATTAGGATTTTGTGATGAACCAGTCCGTGGCTCTGTTTAATTCCCAAATTCCCAACTTCAAATTTGCTTGCTTTTGCTCACTTTCTACTTCAAATAGATCTGAATCTGGGTTGGGAGTCGAATCTAGAGTTGGTTTTGTCGTTGGCAACTCATGGTAAGCAGAGGGAGGTGGAGTTTGGTTGTATTGGAGAGAGAGAGAGAGAGAGAGAGAGAGAGAGAGAGAAAACGGCATTGGAGGTGGGTTTGGGGTGGATCGACGAAGGGTTAAGTCGGAGGATGGGGGTTGGCTGGGTGGGATGATGGGAGGTGGCTGGTGGGTCGTCAGGCAATGGTGGAAGTTCCAGAGAGAGAGAGATGCCAGGGGGTGGGAAGAGAAAGAGACGAAGAGAAATTTTTTTCTTTTGATTTTTGCCAGATTTTTAATTTTAATTTTTTAAAATTAATTTAACAATAATAAATAATTTAAACAATAAAATAATTTTTTTATTAAGTTTTAGTCCACGTGGAAGTCCACGTCATCAAAAAAAGGAGTCTCATTTTTGACACGTTAGCATTTAATAGACTGACTAACAGTTTGGCTAACGGATGGGGCAATTTGTAGGTTTTCCGTGACGTTGAGTATGTATTGGTAAATGTCCCCAAAATCAGATATGGACTCGTAAATTGCCCTATAAGTTGGGGGATTTACTGTAGTTAACCCTTTTTAAATTTATTCGATTATGGGCCCATTTTACCTTATATTTCATTGATACAAGCGAACTCATTTTAATTTTTTTTTTTAATACAAGCAATAGTCTAAACTACAAGAAAATGAGAATTTCCCATACACACACACGACTAGGTGCCATAGGTGTTCGAACCTAAGACCACTGATTTACAAGTTATGCCTCTTTTTTAACTCTCTAATTTTCAATTCTTTATTTATAGGCTTGAAAAAAAAAATTAGACAAATTATAAACCATTAAGACCATCTCCAACCCTTGGGGTGAAAACTCAAATTTTGAGTTTAGCCTCCAAAAACCATCTCCAACCCATGTATTTTGGGGGGTGGAAATTTGAGAAATCTCAAAATCTTGGGTGGAATTTTTCTTTCTTCCCTTTTTGCTGCCTTTTTGATTTTTGGGGGGGGGTAAATTTTTACAAACCTGCTTTCTTTCTTTTTTTTTTTTTTTTTTTTTTTTTTTTTTTTTTTTTGAAAGCCCATGTGCTGCACAATGTTTGCTGGGCCCAGTTTTGGTTACATTATTTGGGCAGCAACTTTGTGCCAAAAATCTGATATTGCTGGTTTGTTTGTTTGTTTGTTTGTTTGTTTTTTTTTTAAATATTCCAACAACTATATTTGTAATCAATAATCATGATTAATTTTAAGCAATCTCAACGGCAAAATTTAATGATTGTCGTTTATTTAAAAATGCTTAGATAATTTAAACACACTTACATAATTCAATGAAGAGTTCGAATTATTCCGGGCATACGTATGATATTGTACTTATTTTTATTTTTTAAGTGAAATTCAATTATGTTTTGGAATTTTATTTTTTTTAGGTTAAAATGTTTAGAAAATTAAATCACGAGTGTTGAAACAAAAATAATGTCAAGAAAAATTAACAAGAAACAAAATTTAGGGGTTAATCATTCTTAAACAATTTAATAAAGTTGCGGACTCAAATTATGAGTCTACAAGGTTGGAGGAAAAAAAATTTTGAGTCCTGAAAATACATGAATAGTTATATTTTGGAGGGTGAAAATTTGAGTTTAGCCCCAACATGATTGGAGATGGTCTAATACACACTAAAATGATTACCACATAATTAAATGGTTAAATGATTTTCGATTTTGTAGATTTTTTTGCAAATGATATTTGAAAATACAGATGTCACTCAAGAGACCCCTTAATTTATTTGCATTGGGATTGACCAAAATATAATATAATGTATGGGAGAGTGAAGCCGACCACAAACAGTGCCAAATAAACGGCACGTTAATTTCTTACCGTTGAGCTCACGGCCCCACTATCCCCACCGTTAAAATTCAAATATAGTGCTCTTATTCCCCTAACGGCTACTTCAGAGACCTCACAATCCAGCAGAACCCATTTTCAAGAACCAAGAATAAACCCTTCCCAAAACCGAAATTCTTTTCCTCAATCTCTTAATTAAAACCCAGAGATCTTGCACTTTGAATCAAGACCCATAAAATCTTTGACCCAAGAAACTGATATCTTTCATTAACAACCCACAAAATCCTTGGCAAAATCTGATCGTATAAATAAAACCCACCAATCTCAATCTCATGGATTCGACTGCAGCAGCAACACCTCCTTATCATCATCATTCTCGTTCGGAACCACCGTCCAGGACGAAATCATCCTCACGGCTTGCCCAAAGCGGACAAATTCCTCATCTCTCTCTTGGCCTCATAACATCATCACCCAAGAGAACTCCGTCCCCTTCTGCTCACTCTATCAGAACTTCCGATTCCCTCCCTCTCCGCGAGCTTCTCCTTCTTTCACCTTCACCTCTCCGAAAAAGGTCCAAGACCCGTCTCACGGATCGACTGGAAATGGCTGATGAGCCCGTGGTCGAGGCCGCAGGGCCACGCCGGAGGTGCAAAAGCAGAGGTGCCCAGATGGGCTTATTGGGCTGTGCCTCGCCGAGGAACACTCGAAGGTCGCGGAGGCGGTCAGAGACTGAGATTCGAGAAGATAAAGATTCGGGTTTGGTGGAAGAGATTGCAAAGCCAAGGAAAAGGCGGTCCAAGAAGGAAAAGCTGAGCTTGGTCCTTTCTTTGCCCTCCCCAAGCGCATCATCAAGTAAGTCCCAATTGCTCTCTTTTCTTTCACTCTTTGGTCTTCTCAATTCCTTGGGTTTTTATGATTTCATTTGTTGATAGTCGATGATGAGTACCGTGGTAGCCTGGATCGAATCGGGCAGCTAATGAATGATCTGATTATGTGGAGAGACGTAGCAAGGTCTAGCCTTTGGTTTGGTTTGGGGTCTCTTTTCTTCTTGTCCTCTTGCTTTGCCAAAGGAATCAACTTTAGGTGACTACTTCTCTCTTTCAAATTTCCCTGATTTCCCTATTTTAATTGTAGCATCAAGCATGTAATTGTATCCAATTCAATTCTTTCAGCATTTTCTCAGCGATTTCCCAACTAGGACTTTTATTTTTGGGTGCTTCGTTTGTCTCCAACTCAATCTGTCAAAGGTGCAATTTTCACTTACTTTTTGTATTACTTTCGAGTTCTGCCCGTCTTTCTCTGTTGGGTAAGATTTGCCAATGATCTTTATATTTCAATTCACAGAAATGGTGTTGAGAAGAAGTTTGATTTCATGCTCAAAGAAAGTGACATTCTGGGTGTAGCCAAAATGATACTTCCTGCTACAAATCTTGCAATATCGAAGACCAGAGCGATTTTCTCGGGAGAGCCATCCATGACCCTCAAGGTAATCACAAAACAAATTCTGATTGTTGATGGATTGAGACAGTGTTTGGGATTGATTGCATGATTAGTAAAGTGAGCTCAATTTTCTGGTTACAGGTAGCTCCATTCTTTCTTCTGGGAGCAGAGTATGGGCATCTTATAACACTTTGGAGGCTCTGTATGCTTGGTATAAGACTTCATGCCCATCTTCCAATCAATGAATTTTTTTTTCTTCTTCTGTTGTTTTAAATCTTTAATGGGAGTATATGCTGCTAACTAATTGTGTAAAATTATGGCTAGCTTTTTTTATCAGCTTCACAATCCCAAAACTGTACTCATGCTACTCCATCCAAATGAACCAAAAAGGTATTTAGAATCCCACCAATGTACTTGATGTCTATAAAGTCTGCCTTTATATTCATCCCGCACTAAACGAAATCTAATTTCGGTATGCAGTTGACTGCTTGAAATGGTGGGTGTTGGAAGCATGGGGAGCTTGCTCACACAAAAAGATTGTAGCAGCATCAGCAGCCACAGCCTTTTGGAATCTGTCTTCTGTGAGAACCCGTATCTTCACAGGTAATTTTATTGCATTGCAGGATATTTTTTCGTCCCTGGAACAATGTTGAAACCGATATAAATTTGGATCAACTTACAAATATATTCATAATGAAAGCGCTCTTCGTTTTCCTTTAATTTTGTGGCCTTTTGAAATCTGTCTAATTCATAGTTTGCTGACTAGTGATTTAAATAGATCAATGCCCAGATTAATGTATTCCCTGAGAACTTAATAGTCATCCATGTTGTCGCTTCTATTTGCAATCTTGTTATGGCTTCTATTTGCAATCTTGTAGGATCATTTCCTTGTCCTGAAGATTCTTATGCGAAATGATGTTTTTTTTTTACCTTTGCAGCATTTATATCTCTTGTAATTCTTCGTTACTGCCGGCAACATATGGTGCAACCGCTGGAAAATGGGGAGGCAGAAGTGGAGCAGGAGCAGCAGCAGGCATTGGCGGTGGCGGTGGCAGAACCGGAAGCAGAAGGAAAACAAGTCCAGGAAGAGGCATTATTATTAGTGGCCGAAGTAGCAAGCAAGCAGTAGGTGTAGTTTCAATTTGTCCATCATCCATTCTAACACTAATGTGTTTGGTACCTGATCCAGTGATGTGACTGATCCATTGACCATGTTCAACATGTACAAATAAAAATGGTTTCCAAATATTTTTTTGGGAGTGCCCTCATCATTGGTACCAATATTTTTTCCAAATATTTCCTTGTTTGATTTTCAGTGTCATTGATGATAATTAAAGAAAAACTGAGAGGACTATTTCCCGAAAGCATTGACAGAAAACATTCACAAAGGTGAAAAAATACAATAATATATAAACTCCAACCAGAGCTCTAGTTACTCC